TGTTCACCCAGCAGAAAATGGGTACCCGGTGGGGTAGGCCATGTGTCTGTTAACCTTCTAGCTCCTCACAGGCAACTTGGGTTATCCAGGGTAGTAATTGTGATTTCAAAACTGGTGCTTTGAGCAACCGCAACAGATGGAAACCACGTAACAATTATTGTTATTAAACATGTGCACAGCTGATTGCTATTTCCGGCTCTGTGTATGAGACAAATATACATAGTAATCTTAATCCCTGCATAAAAGACAATGCCTAGTAGAAACAAATTAAAACTGAAAGGTATGTATAATCTTGTCAAGTGATGTTTAATTGCAAATCTGAGATCAAATTTGAGTCATTTACTCCTACCGTTCACGCAAAGCGATACAATGTCGTTTTCTTACTGCCAGAAAGACATTTGACAAAAGTGTAACCTGCATATAAACCAACACTTTCAAAAGACTGATTGGTTTGGTCCTCCAAATTTGGCTTATCTACATAAGTTACTTCATGTGCAATACATGGTATATGGACTTGTTGTTTGTCAACAATAAATCAACACTATCAATATGATCAACATTCAGTTGACATATATATTGTAGGAAATGGGCTTGACCTGCATAGGTGGACAATGGTTCCATGTCTCAGATATCAAGATAAATTAAAACAATGGAATTGACATTTCGAAATTCTGGCTACTGTGGTTATTTTCATTAATGCCAATGTAACGTTACAGCTCTGTGGAGTACACATGTATAAGTCAGCAAATTCGGTTATTTACAATTTCCCAAAAATATTTAAAGGTCACATAAACCCTAGGGGGTAAAAATACATAAATCACTAACTGGCATCGTTATAAATGCAACCCCGTCATTAAAACTACTCATTTCGACCTTTAATTGACTTAAATTGACCTTTTTGACAACAGTGCACAATTCTCACCCGCGAACGAAATTTCAACCAATCAGAGCGGCGCGACTCTGTGACGTCATATGAGGAATAGCTTTGAGGGCCGATGCAGAATTCATCTACATTTTAGGGGGTAAATTATCTTGTTTACAGGCTTGTATAAACCTGAAATCGTGACAATTGTTGTGGAAAATGAAAGCTATATGTTCTCACAATCTACTGGCATTTAATTTTGTCTCCTGCTTTGCCTAGTTTCGAGTTACAACTTGTTTTCATAGGCGCTTCTGTCACAATTGATTGGTGTCGTTAGGCCCTATTTGTATAATGACTGATCCAAATTGATCCCATTTCTGTGTTTTTACCTCGATATTTAATCATGTCATGTAAAAATCTGTTTGTATTCTCAAAACAGTGTCGGCCCATAAGTTTTCACATGCAATACAGCAATTAATACTCCCTTGTTGTAACCCGTGTTAGGTGGTATAAACCTACACATGTTATTTGTCATCATTCACTTGATGGTCAGTTAATGAATTTATAACAGGTATAATTAGTGGTAACACACTTAGATTACCGACAAAGGTTCCCATTTGGCATTTCTTGTGTCTGGAGTAAATATTCAACATTATGAACATCGATCAAAGGATTAACCGATAACTGCGCTGATTGATTAATTACTTTTATCTTACACAGCGGAATTGTCAAAGGTAGTGTTTATGTATGTAGATTTACTAATCTATACTGAATACACTCTGCCGTGTCGGTGTGTCTGCGTAAAAACAGCGTCCTTCTTTCAAAGGATTAACCCGGCAATACATTGATTGATTGCCCATTATTGGCTAACTAAATTACTGTTTTTAATGAAAGGCGGACATTATGCAATTAGTTGCCAGGTGTGCTATCTTGGGTGACCAATGAGACTATACACCAATACCTGAAAAGATTTATCACTTTTAGGTATATTAAACTGTTAAAAGACACATCATTTGGAACAGTTTTGTGGATATTGATGGATACATTCCTCAAACAAGGTAATGGCCTGATATTGTTCCTATAACTTTAATCTGTTTTAATTTTAATATTTGCATTTTGTTTTTAATCATTTTGTCGTAGCATTCAACAGAATCATTGTTTTAGCCCGTGAAGTGTAATGAGACAGACAACATACACTAGGGGGTGTGTGTGCGAATTATGATTCACATTGGCAAACTATAAAATGTCTAGATATTACAGTTCTGTTATAAATTCACTATAAGTATCAGCAGATCGTCAGCTTTTATTTAGTTTCAAAATGCATAAAAGTATGATAATAAACTAATTAGGATTATAAGACCAAATATAAAGGCGCACATTGACTAGTATCTACATACTGGTGAGTGGACATTAACCATGTGAATGTAGCAAGAAATTTATCGGCGCAGTATTGTGACTTGACCCCCACCTCGGCTTCCGTGGAAGAAATCGTTATGTTATAAGTTGTGTCATGCAAAATCCTTTTGGTTATGATTCCAATACATATTTAACTTCTGAGTAGAAAGTAGTTTTGATTTTCTAACAGTGAAAACAAACTATAATCTCATTAATTCTAACAGACTTTCACGATTTTTCAAAATGGTAGCCCTGTCGGGAACATCCGCCAGTCTGTGGATAAATGCTATTTAGGTTTGTTTTCACCGAGGTTACAAAATCAAAACTACTTTCTACTGGTAGTAAAATATGTATTTTATTGATGGCCAATAGGATTTTGCATGACATAGCATATAACATAACAATTTCTCTCCTGGCAGCGCGAGGTGGGTGTCAATATAATACTACTTACAATATTATTGTTGCCGACCACAACCTCACTTCCGAGGAAGAAATCGTTATGTTACAAGTTGTGTTATGGAAAATCTTTATGGTCATCAATCATATACATATTTTACTATAACTAGTAAGTAGTTTTGATTCTTTAACTTCCGTGAAGCGATCTGAACACAAGTAAGATATCGTTTCAGGCTTCCTGGCGCTAAAGCCGCACTCACAAACATAACCCATTTAGCACGAACTGCGGGATCCTGTGGAAATCTGTGCATGGTGACACCATCACCCGACCCCTAGGAGCAATTGGCGACAAAGCAGCGATTAGGCGGCATGTCGTCGTTCATGTCGAGAAATCATCAAAATGATGAGCGTGCTACACACTTTCTATACAACTAACTGAAAATCGTTCCTCATATGGCGTCACTGCAGTGCTCTGGCGACAGAGTTACGTAACCTGTCTGTGGTTTTAAGTTGGTGAGAGGAAGCAGGCGACTTTTTGGCCACTTTTAATCGCTCGGTATTAATTAACCACAAGTTTTAAAGAATAAATTTGGTGTTCCGCATAAGACTAACCACAAATCTTTCATATGTAATGGTTAAAGAGTAACAAAAACAGAGTTTAGTGGTTCTTTAAAAAGAATAGAAGCCAGACTTTAATGTGTTAGTTAGTTTACTCTGTTATGTTTGTACTGCAGTTTAAGTGAGTGAGTGAGTGAGTGAGTTTGATTTTACGCCGCTTTTAGCAATATTCCAGCAATATCACGGCGGGGGACACCAGAAATGGGCTTCACACATTGTACCCATGTGGGGAATCGAACCCGGGCCTTCGGGGTGATGAGCGAACGCTTTACCCACTAGGCTACCCCACCGCCCCTACTGCAGTTTAAGACCCCCATAATTCCACTGTGTATATGTTTTACTTGGGAAGATACAAGAAAATGAAGTATTATACAGTATTTTTAGGCAAATTGATTTTGTTTAATTATCTTGCCTGAACTTTCATCTCCAGACCAGTAAAAGACAAATTCATCTGAACAACTGATTCTTCTGGCACTTTTTTCTTCAAACGTTAAATATATATCAAATTAATAAATAAAGCTTAATTTGTTATAGCTTTTTGCATTTCCAATTTCGGCTCATGATATTCAACTCTCAGAACAATAAATCAAACTAAATTCTTTCGGAATGTACTCAGTCTTCAAACCAATGTCACACATTGGTAAAAGGGATCTTCACTCAGCAACAGCATCATTTCATCTTTTGGAAATATATTTCATTATTAACTAAGCAGATAGTGCCAACAGCTATGGTAGTTTTCACACCTGTGAATGTGGTAAGAGAGTATGACATTGTGTAGGATCATAAATTTCTGATGTCAACAACCTGGGTGACCTTGAACTTATTATCTAAAGGTCACCATGACATAGCTGGAATTGTGCTGACTTCGGTGGAAAACATGTTAGTTCACTCATTACATGTTATGAACAGATATTCAGTCCATACACAGGATAGGACTGGTCATCAACAATCAGTTGAGCACAGCTCCTAACTGCCTCTCCTTCGTCTGACACCCAAACATCTCATATCTGACTAATCCTCTAGAACATGTGAGAATTTATCAGCTGGGAACAATTTTCTCTTGAAAGTACCTGGTTGAGACTACCTAGTTGAGAAATCTTCAGCACCCAGTGCTACAGTTGAGCAGGATCAGGTAATTTGACTGAACATGTAACCATGGTAACTAATTGTTGGCCAGGTGCTAAGGAATGTTCACCCCTTTTTCACTTTTGGTATAATATGACAGGCAATATAATGTATAACAACCTGTTTATTATACATGTACAATGTTTCAGAAGGTGTTAATCATATATTCAACTTACTATTATCTGTAAGTACTGTCTTTCCACACTGTTCTATGCAGTATCATTATTATATAGAAGTTCTTCCTGATGGACAGAATGATCAGGGAGCTCACTTGTGTCTTTAACAGTGCAGGAATGTCCCCCATCCAGTAGCAGAGTTGCTGAAGGTCTCCATGTCCTTAGTTAGTTGTTGTCAAAGCATTGCCCGTTGTATTTTATTTTGTTATTGAGCAATAGTTTTCTTTTTTCAATTTTTTTAAACAAATAATCCAGTGGTCAAGATCATGAGCATTGATCTGTGCAACTGGGATGCAATGACATATGTCAACCAATCAGCAGGTGTGATGACCAATCTTGTGAGTCACCTCTTATGACAAGCATGGGCTGCTGAAACCCAATTTCGACCCGGATATTCGCAGAACAAAACGGATATATTCCAAGTTACTATGTCGCCCAAAGTGAATGCCTTTGCTATAATTGTTAAACCTGTTCAAGTCAGAATATGGCTGAAAAACTGCTGATGAGACTTAAAAGTTTCACTCACTGACTTGAGGTAATCCAGTGTGGTTTCAGGGTCTTGGTCTTTGTCAAGGATGATAAAATCTAGTCGTTTGTGTTCATTTTTTAGGTGATCCAGGATGGTTCTCAGGATCTCGCTAATATTACACGGGTGATGGATGGCAAAGTGCTAAGGCTCTGCGTTTCTATTAATTTGACGTGTAATACTGTCCTGTAAAACTGTCCTGTAATACTGTGCTGTAATACTGGCCTGTAATACTGTCCTGTAATACTGGCCTGTAATACTGGCCTGTAAAACGGTCCTGTAATACTGTCCTGTAATACTGTCCTGTAATAATGTCCTGTAATGCTGTCCTGTAAAACTGTCCTGTAATACTGTCCTGTAATACTGGCCTGTAATACTGGCCTGTAAAACGGTCCTGTAATACTGTCCTGTAATACTGTCCTGTAATAATGTCCTGTAATGCTGTCCTGTAAAGCTGTCCTGTAATACTGTCCTGTAAAACTGTCTGGAAGTGGAGTCAGTAGTCCTCCAGCACCTTAGCCAAACTTGGACCGATCCACCAGGTAAAGCTGTCCCAGTCTGTGTAGATTAAGCTGAAGGTTGGCGTGAAGGTTGTCCTGGCTGTCTAGGTAGTTATTCAAGGCCAAATGGCGAGTCAGAAACAGGTCCTCAAGCTCTCCTGAAACAAATCCATAAATATTTTGTGGGTCTGTCTGACTACTACAAATGTCACACTGTAAATAACCTATCAGATCAGTTTGCGTTTTTGTCATAACAAGTACCTGAGCGTATAGAAATCTGACACGCGACTTACAAAAACCTGACTGAGTTGAGCTTAGTTAGAGTTGTTCAAACAGGAGAGATTGAAGGCAGTCAGACACTATCATCATAATCACATTTCCAGTCTGTATTAGATCAGTCAGTAGTATAACCTTCTGTGCTACTAGGGGTGGGTATTGCAGAGAATTTTCATATTGCGATATATTGCGATGCGGAAGAATATATTGCGATATGTATTGCAATATATTGCAAGAATTATTTTTTTAGCAAAAACTATTTATAATCGAGTTAAAGCTTGATTATAAAGCAAAAACACAACAAAATCACTATGATTGATTAACCTTTAATAAAAACTTTTAATCATGACAAAATAAAAATGTAAGTAACATTTGGCACTAATGAAACAGGGAAAAGAACAATTAAAAAAACTGATATATCCGAAGATTTCCGAGTGTTATGAAGTTTTCCGAATGCATGTCAAAATACCGGTTTTCGATCAGCGTATCGCAATACATATCGTTTTCATGTCTTAACCGGTAAATACCGGTAAACCGGTTATATTGAGCAGCCCTATGTGCTACAGTGTTTAATCCTTCTAGATCACTATGTGAAACCCTTCTCCACTTCAGTTTTCCCATTTCAGATAGCTATTTGAAATCCACCTCAACTTCAGTTTTCCCCTTCTAGACCACTGTGTGAAACCCTTCTCCACTTCAATTCCCCCTTCTAGATCGCTATGTGAAATCCTTCTCTTCTTCAGTTTTCCTCTTTTAAACTGCTTCGTGAAATCCTTTTCCAGTTCACTTTTCCCCTTCTAGGCTGTGACGTGTAAACCTTCTCCACTTAAGTTTTCCCTTTGTAGACTGATATATTTCCATTCAACTTAAAGGTCACATGCAACCAAAATCAAACATAATTAAAACACAATTATCACTTCTTCATGACATATAATATGCATTGCTGATTGATTGCTGTATGAAAAAACAAATAAACAAAATTATAAGCGTATAATCGCAAATCAAAAGTGCAATATTTTGTACTTAGGTTTACCTCCCTCGAAGCGAAGCAGCGGGATACCGAACCCAGTCAGAGCGGGTGGGTGTGCACTCAAGTGTAACGGCTGGTTCATTAGCAGATGCCGCCTTCGACGGCTCATTGTGTGTGTATATATAGAGATGTTGGGTTTTGTAAATACATGCTCATTTTTTGTGTATAACATTTTGCAATCAACAGACATCATAACATGTCATGTGTTCAAGTATCACACCTGCCTGTCTGTGTAATTACATAATGTGACAGAGACCGAACTTCGGGCCATAAATCAATGAGTTTTGTTTATGGTGTATAGCCTGATTGGTGTTAAGTTCAAATTGCATGTGGTCAGTGATCGCGGTTGTGTATTGAATATTGTCATTAGCAGACAGGCAGGCAGACACATAGGTGTCAATAAAACAAGACATTGAGTTTTGTCTGTGACAACGACATATCTATATCACAGTTAGAAATTGTGTCAGCTAAATAATGACATTGCTTTTAAGTATCGAACTGAGAAAGTGACTTGGTAAGAAGAAGCGTGTGGTGAAATAGACAAATGAAATTATATAAACAGTTTATTTACTGTCATAACATATAAAAGCTTCGCCTGTGAGATATCAACAAAACATTATGAAAATAGCTCACACCAAAGCCTTCACCGAGTATTCACCAGACAGCCAGCTTCCAAGTTCGCGAACCTATTTCACTGCGCCGCGTGCTATGGCGCAGCCCAGCTGTTGAAACCCGTATTCCCCAAGAAAAGTCTGGGGAAAATTAGTGAAAGCGTTTGAACTCTCGATTTACGCGCGTTTTTTTCATCGCGTTATTTTCAACTTTATAAGTTGAATTTGCATTTTGACGATTTGTTTCGGTAAGTCCATACCGAAAGGTATCAGAATCTACAAAGTTGTGTTTTACGTTGCATGTGACCTTTAAGTTGAACATCCCCACCTCCACGATTGCAGAGAAAACCTTCAACCCCATCAGAAACATCGTGGACAGCATGAAGCTGACACCCAACCCAGAGAAGGAGATGATAGCCCTGTCAATTGGTAGGACAGTAGAAAAGTGAAAACAATTAGGAGATAAACATCATGTGTTGGCCAATTTCCGGGTGTTATTGAGTATTTGAAGCACGGGAATATTTCATTTGAAACCTCCGGCTATATCATTTGAAACCTCCGGCTGATGCCGTCGGTTGCAAATGAATTCCTGTGCTTCAAATACTCTATAACACCCGGAAATTGGCCAACACATGATGTTTATCGACATTGTAAACACAAAAGTAAACCAAAAGTTCCACACACATTTTAGTGTCAGCACTCATTGACATCAAGAACAGCAGTGAAATCTCATAAGCCGGCCGTTTCAGCTGTCTCCCATGGTAGCATCTGGAACTGCTCACTTGTGATGTCTTTCGGACTGCTGCTGACGACGTAACAATACAATGGTGTGTGCAGTGTTTGTACGCATTAATACGCAGCGAATGGTTTTGCAATTTCTGGGAATCGAATACCATTCGATCATGTTTTTGAACTGATGAGATTAAAGACTTTTGGTTTACAATTGGTAACAACATCAGTAGGCCATCATTGAGACACTGCTACAACTTGTGTCCTAAATAGCCCTGCATCTAAAATTGTCCTTAGCAAATGTAGAGTTCTAGAAAATGAATTGCCATTTGTAAAAGGACAACAGATATATATTGGAATTATTAGTTAAAAGTTAACATTGCCGCTCAGGCCCATTGTAACCTATATTTAAGAAATACAGTTCACTCTCGAGTGCTTTAACGTTATAATAGTTCAGGGCGAAAGTGTGCTTTATTACACTATACATGGTGGTAGAGTGAACTGTATTTCTTTTCTAAGATGCCAAATTTAATACTTTCTAAGGATAATTATGATTAATTTAAGGCAGAAAACAAACGACAGTGTCGGTGACCTAAATTAAGAATCCTCACACAGGGCTAACTGGCGCGCTGTTCTATTGATGTGTCTTCCCCCTACGTTAAAACGAACGTTACCAGAAAAAACCCAAATAATAACAGTTTGTTGACGGTTTACGTTCGGATTAAATATCTTCTCTGAATTATTTTAATTACATCTGTCATTAGCGTAAACCATATGGGGCAATATGAACGTCGCATTTCTACTACCAACGTAAGTTTCGATCAGTACATCCAGATGAAGCTGAGTAGTCAAGCGACATTCCACGATTGCATTGTGGGAATGTAAACATTGCGAACGTGACCGTGTCGCTGAAAACTTGTGAGTCGAATTGACACATTTTAATTGTCGTAAAACATAAACGTAATGTTACCACCAGTGATGATAGCTGCGTGAAGCAACTGCAAACCAAGAAACGGGATGCAACGGAGTAGTTTACTGTAGGAGGCTGTACGAGGCAATGACAACTGACATGCATCATGACGTCGCTTACATTGTGACGTAATGTAAAATAGTTTGATTATGAAGGGGCACACTAGAATGGATAACGTCATTCAATTGTTACGTCATCAAAAAACTATACCTTTATTGTTTGATAATGTATTTTTTTTTTATTGTTCTAACCTCTAGGCATCTTAGAAATCATAATAAGCATTTCAGTTCACAGATGTAAAGTGCTCCTAATGTCTCTTATTTTTATCATCTGCCTTGACATGCTTGCAAATTACAACAAATACAATATTTTTCATAGCATTCAACATGTTTGAAATAGCAGTAGTAAATGAGGCACATAACATCAGAATCATAATTCATATGAGTTTATGGGACATGGTGCCATTGCATGAAGGAAACATGAGCTGCTGGGTTTAGAGCAACATGGAATATCAATAATGAAACTGGAGCCAATGTTTATAAACATGTTGGCAATCATCGACATGATCATAACCAAACTTCCAATCTGCTCAAGCTGTTTCAGCGTTCCAATCTAGCACATGGGAGACAGCTAGCTATATTTTGCATTCTACCATGGCTACGTGAAATGCTCGATTTTGACTGGTCAATCAATAAAATTAGACGCTATCAATTTTGGGTTGAAAATTCATCTGATTTCATGACCGCTTCACTGCGCACATATACAACACTGCCGCATCAGCTTGACCACCAACATGGCTAATATCAACACGACAGATGTGATGGAAATGCTGATAAAACATTTATTAAAACTCGAAAAATAAATTATTATATGATTTTTCCTCCACAATTATTAGGGAACCTCACTATCATATAACCTTCAATAATAAAAATATTCAATTACAATACACAGCCCCAAACATAAACAAACAATCTCTAACATATAAATCAGAAAGCCTTGTAAATTTCATCCCTATCTATACAAAATGTGCAGCAAATCCTTACTAAACATTTACCTACCTGGTAAATGGTATATTTGTTTCCGTTTAGAATCATAAGAATGGGAAATTTGCAAGATAACGGTCAGGCGAAACACAAAATTTATGCCACTCAAATTCCATCATGTCCCGTTGCATCGTTAAAAAAATTCATGTCAAAAATTGAACCACTAGAATTCTGCTCTCCCCACAAGGCTGTCACTGGTGGTGATCTATGTTCGTACACTTTGAAAAAAGGTTTGGCCACAATCCAGTCCCAAATGATGAAAACAATGTTCCAAGGAATCCCAAGTTAGTCGCATGTAAACAAAGCAGCACTGTCACTCTTTTCGTCGCATGCCAGAGTGGAGGCACCTACTGCCTTAGATGTAAATGAAATCATGATCCACACTCGCTGGTCATACAAATCTTTGAATAGTTACAGGTCGTAGGTCGATCAGAAAAGGATCTATTCTTTGATTCTGCAGGGTTCAGATTCGACAGTCAGTCAAGTATTTTCCACTTTCACTCAAGATGTAAACACTGGCTGTCCGACATTTCAAACTGTTGCATAACTGTCAACAACTACAGACTGCACTTCCAAGAAAAATAAGTAGGTCAGACGATTCCATTATGGTGTGGCCAGGGGGTTAGAGTAACACGGCACGCAAAACAATAGGCTGGTTTCGGTCGTGTGGAGTTGGTATTATATAAACCAAGCTTTTGGGTATTACATTATTGCATTTAATAAACAGTAGTTAGTTTTCTTTGGACAGAATATGATATATGTTGCAATGTTTAAAAAAATACGAATGGCACCTTCCACTCCCTTCACAGACGAGTTCAATTCGCCTCTCGCACCATGCCCGGATTTCGCAGTGTCTTCCGTGGAAGGAAAGAGTTTGATTTTAAATTGGTTATGGTAGAATAGAGATAAACGTATTGTGTTGGAAAATTAGATGAATGTTAGGCAGAATGTCAGGCAGAATTTCATTTGGAACCGAACGCATAGTGTGAGGTTTCAAAGGATTAATTTAGAGACTATCAATTCTGCCTAACACTCATCTAATTTTCCAACACAATATGTTTATCTCCTAAGTCAGCAGACCAACATTCGCACAAAGCTAGATATTATAAAGAATAGCTTCGTAGCAAAACAAATTCTGTTTTTCGTCTCGAACCAAGTCAGCAGACCAACAATCGCTCAAAGCTAGATATTATGATGATTAACTTCGTAGCAAAACAAATTCTGTTTTTCCTCTCTAACCTATTCTATTTAATTACCTCTTTCAAGCATATGAAAATCTGAACAGGATTACTATTGGTTGACCATGATAATTTAGAATGCTACTATAGATTTACAATGTAGAACACTAGAAGTTGGTGCAGGGTTAGACTTGCTCCAAGGCTGTACTAAATGCTGGGTTCGTGGATGTATACTAATTCTATTCTTTAGAGAGGCAAGTCTAGATAAGTGGACAGTACATCTAAGGACCCCAGTCTGTTGTTTATTACTTTTTAGAAATTATCATTTAAACTATTAATGTTAATCTTCGAGACTTGTGCAAGTCTAGTGCAGGGTTAGAGTTACATATGGTATGGCACACATCGGCAGAGTGTTTTAGGTTCCTGGACAACAGTCGTCTGACATGGCCTACTTAATAAACTGAATAAACAAGCAGCATGCTGGAGGACCGGTTCATCTTTCACCCCTGCCATAGTTGGTGTATATGTCATCAGGCTTAATATAAGAAGACAAACCAACAAGCACTAAGCAATCTGTGTGAGAAATAGTGCCTGCAGCATGAGCAAGGATAGCAGTTTCAAGGCTGTTTTAATTACCTGTTGTACATCAAACTAGGCAGGGCTAAACATACAACAGAAGCAGAGGTACAGAAGCTCACCTTTAACACATATAAAATTGAGTTGTTCATGTCTGTCAAATGTGTCTATCAGATATCTGTAAGTGACTCTTTGACTGATAGTGTCTAATGTTGCATGAGACCCACCTGTGTTTGTTTGACTGTCAGTGTGTGTTTGCAGGAGGAGCCCGTGTTTTTTGTGTGACTCCTAGTGTCTGATGTTGCAGGAGACCTCTGTGTGACTCCTAGTGTCTGATGTTGCAGGGAGACCCACCTGTGTTTGTTTGACTGTCAGTGTGTGATTTGCAGGATGATCCTGTGTTGTTTTGTGTGACTCCTAGTGTCTGATGTTGCAGGAGACCCCTCTGTCTGTGTGACTCCTAGTGTCTAATGTTGCAGGAGACCCACCTGTGTTTGTTTGACCAGTGTGTGTTTGCAGGATGAGCCTGTGTTTTTGTGTGACTCCTAGTGTCTGATGTTGCATGAGACCCACCTGTGTGTTTGTTTGACTGTCAGTGTGTGTTTGCAGGAGGAGCCTGTGTTTTTGTGTGACTCCCTAGTGTCTGATGTTGCATGAGACCCCTCTGTGTGACTCCTAGTGTCTAATGTTGCATGAGACCCACCTGTGTTTGTTTGACTGTCAGTGTGTGATTTGCAGGATGAGCCTGTGTTTTTTGTGTGACTCCTAGTGTCTGATGTTGCATGAGACCCCGTGTGTTTGTGTGACTCCTAGTGTCTAATGTTGCAGGAGACCCACCTGTGTTTGTTTGACTGTCAGTGTCTGATGTTGCAGGATGAGCCTGTGTTTTGTGTGACTCCTAGTGTCTGATGTTGCAGGAGACCCCTGTGTTTGTGTGACTCCTAGTGTCTGATGTTGCAGGAGACCTCTGTGTGACTCCTAGTGTCTGATGTTGCAGGAGACCCTCTGTTTGTGTGACTCCTAGTGTCTGATGTTGCAGGAGACCTCTGTGTGACTCCTAGTGTCTGATGTTGCAGGAGACCTCTGTGTGTTTTTTGTGACTCCTAGTGTCTGATGTTGTAGGGAGACACCTCTGTTTGTGTGACTCCTAGTGTCTGATGTTGCATGAGACCCCTCTGTTTGTGTGACTCCTAGTGTCTGATATGTTGCATGAGACTCACCTGTGTTTGTGTGACTCCTAGTGTCTGATGTTACGCAGGAGATCCCTGTGTTTGTGTGACTCCTAGTGTCTAATGTTGCATGAGACCCTCTGTGTGACTCCCTAGTGTCTAATGTTGCATGAGACCCACCTGTGTTTGTTTGACTGTCAGTGTGTGTTTGCAGGATGAGCCTGTGTTTTTGTGTGACTCCTAGTGTCTGATGTTGCAGGAGACCCCTCTGTTTGTGTGACTCTAGTGTCTGATGTTACGGGAGATCCCTGTGTTTGTGTGACTCCTAGTGTCTAATGTTGCATGAGACCCCTCTGTGTGACTCCTAGTGTCTAATGTTGCATGAGACCCACCTGTGTTTGTTTGACTGTCAGTGTGTGTTTGCAGGATGAGCCTGTGTTTTTGTGTGACTCCTAGTGTCTGATGTTGCAGGAGACCCCTCTGTTTGTGTGACTCCTAGTGTCTAATGTTGCAGGAGACCCCTCTGTTTGTGTGACTCCTAGTGTCTAATGTTGCATGAGACTCACCTGTGTTTGTGTGACTCCTAGTGTCTGATGTTACGGGGAGATCCCTGTGTTTGTGTGACTCCTAGTGTCTGATGTTGCAGGAGATCCCTGTGTTTGTGTGACTCCTAGTGTCTGATGTTGCAGGAGACCTCTGTATATTTTGTGACTCCTAGTGTCTGATGTTGCAGGAGACCTCTGTATTTTGTTTACTCCTAGTGTCTGATGTTGCAGGAGACCTCTGTGTGACTCCTAGTGTCTAATGTTGCATATGAGACCCACCTGTGTTTGTTTGACTGTCAGTGTGTGTTTGCAGGATGAGCCTGTGTTGTTTTTGTGTGACTCCTAGTGTCTGATGTTGCAGCAGAGACCCCTCTGTTTTGTGTGACTCCTAGTGTCTAATGTTGCATGAGAGACCCACCTGTGTTTGTTTGACTGTCAGTGTGTGTTTGCAGGGGATGAGCCTGTGTTTTTGTGTCCACTCCTAGTGTCTGATGTTGCATAGGAGACCCTCTGTTTGTGTGACTCCTAGTGTCTGATGTTGCAGGAGACCTCTGTGTGACTCCTAGTGTCTGATGTTGCAGGAGACCCTCTGTTTTGTGTGACTCCTAGTGTCTGATGTTGCAGGAGACCTCTGTGTGACTCCTAGTGTCTGATGTTGCAGGAGACCTCTGTGTTTTTGTGACTCCTAGTGTCTGATGTTGTAGGAGACACCTCTGTTTGTGTGACTCCTAGTGTCTGATGTTGCAGGAGACCCCTCTGTTTGTGTGACTCCTAGTGTCTAATGTTGCATGAGACCCCTCTGTTTGTGTGACTCCTAGTGTCTGATGTTACGGGAGATCCCTGTGTTTGTGTGACTCCTAGTGTCTAATGTTGCATGAGACCCCTCTGTGTGACTCCTAGTGTCTAATGTTGCATGAGACCCACCTGTGTTTGTTTGACTGCAATTATGGTGTGTGTGTTTTGCAGGAGGAGCCTGTGTTTTTGTGTGACTCCTGAGTGTCTGATGTTGCAGGAGACTCCCTCTGTTTGTGTGACTCCTAGTGTCTAATGTTGCATGAGACCCACCTGTGTTTGTTTGACTGTCAGTGTGTGTTTGCAGGGAGGAGCCTGTGTTTTTGTGTGACTCCTAGTGTCTGATGTTGCAGGAGACCCCTCTGTTTGTGTGACTCCTAGTGTCTAATGTTGCATGAGACTCACTGTGTTTGTGTGACTCCTAGTGTCTGATGTTGGGAGATCCCTGTGTTTGTGTGACTCCTAGTGTCTGATGTTGCAGGAGACCCCTGTGTTTGTGTGACTCCTAGTGTCTGATGTTGCAGGAGATCCCTGTGTTTGTGTGACTCCTAGTGTCTGATGTTGCAGGAGACCTCTGTGTGACTCCTAGTGTCTGATGTTGCAGGAGACCTCTGTATATTTGTGACTCCTAGTGTCTAATGTTGCATGAGACTCACCTGTGTTTGTGTGACTCCTAGTGTCTGATGTTACAGGGGAGACCCCTGTGTTTGTGTGACTCCTAGTGTCTGATGTTGCAGGAGACCCCTGTGTTTGTGTGACTCCTAGTGTCTGATGTTGCAGGAGACCTCTGTGTGACTCCTAGTGTCTGATGTTGCAGGAGACCCCTGTGTTTGTGTGACTCCTAGTGTCTGATGTTGCAGGAGACCTCTGTGTGACTCCTAGTGTCTGATGTTGCAGGAGACCTCTGTGTTTTGTGACTCCTAGTGTCTGATGTTGTAGGAGACACCTCTGTTTCAATGTGACTCCCTAGTGTCTGATGTTGCAGGAGACCCTCTGTTTGTGTGACTCCTAGTGTCTAATGTTGCATGAGACCCCTCTGTTTGTGTGACTCCTAGTGTCTGATGTTAGGAGATCCCTGTGTTTGTGTGACTCCTAGTGTCTAATGTTGCATAGAGACCCCTCTGTGTGACTCATAGTGTCTAATGTTGCATGAGACCCACCTGTGTTTGTTTGACTGTCAGTGTGTGTTTGCAGGAGGAGCCCGTGTTTTTTGTGTGACTCCTAGTGTCTGATGTTGCAGGAGACCTCTGTGTGACTCCTAGTGTCTGATGTTGCAGGAGACCCCTGTGTTTGTGTGACTCCTAGTGTCTGATGTTAAGGGGAGATCCCTGTGTTTGTGTGACTCCTAGTGTCTGATGTTGCAGGAGACCCCTGTGTTTGTGTGACTCCTAGTGTCTGATGTTGCAGGAGACCCCTGTGTTTCTGTGTGACTCCTAGTGTCTGATGTTGCAGGAGACCCCTGTGTTTGTGTGACTCCTAGTGTCTGATGTTGCAGGAGACCCCTGTGTTTGTGTGACTCCTAGTGTCTGATGTTGCAGGAGACCTCTGTGTGACTCCTAGTGTCTGATGTTGCAGGAGACCTCTGTATATTTTGTGACTCCTAGTGTCTGATGTTGCAGGAGACCTCTGTATTTTGTTTACTCCTAGTGTCTGATGTTGCAGGAGACCTCTGTGTGACTCCTAGTGTCTGATGTTGCAGGAGACACCTCTGTTTGTGTGACTCCTAGTGTCTGATGTTGTAGGAGACACCTCTGTGTTTGTGTGACTCCTAGTGTCTGATGTTGCAGGAGACCCAACTGTGTTCGGCAACCTCCCAGACCCTGAGGTGGCAGAGGAAGCTGTGATTCAGGCAGTAAAGGGACGGAAGTCGAATGGTTATGGTCCATCTGTAGGTGAGACAAAACTCATGTTTCTTTCAGGCACAGAAGAGATGTTCCTCCCTTACAGACATTTTGCCGTATATTTATGTATGGTGTATAGGTTCTCAGATCCCATTTTGGAATACATACATTCATTAAGAATTACCAAGCTGTGTGTCCATGACTTACATCATTACCTTATAGTACAGATGATACCTCTCTGTACAAAATCATCAATGTACTATTACTATGATCAGATGTGTGTCCTCTTGTCTTCGGGGAGGTCGGGTAGCCTAGTTTTTAAAGCATTTGCTTGTCACGCTGAACACCCGGGTTTGATTCCCCACATGGGCACAGTGTGTGAAGCCCATTTCAGGTGTCCCCCACCATGATATTGCTGGAATATTGCCAAAAAACGTTGTAAAACTAAACTCACTCACTCGTCTATCGCGATATTATTACACCTCCATTCCAGTTGTGTCAGGTGAACCATTAGCTAAATCCATCTCAAGACAGCATGACTGGACTTTGACCACCCAGTCTGAATTGGGCCAATCAGGGGTCATGTTTCTGAAACTATTTGACTTCTTTTCCTTAGTTCACAAATTTTGATCTCAGGAAAAGAAGTCTGTCACAGTAATCTGCTGTGCCCTAAATAATACACTTGTATAGGTAAAGTTGCCATGGCAGTCAGGTTCAACACAATGTGTAACATATCTACAACAAATATCTAGTAATGTCATGTTTGTGTATTCAGAGCTTCTTGATTATTGCATCTTGACGTGATGCACCTAAAATGTTTTCCTGTCAGATGCAGTGTGCGAAATAGTTTCCAAACGTTGCTAGCCAGTGAAAATTTACTGGCCAGGCGGGCCAGTGACTGTGGAGAGTTGCTGGCCCGACTGAAATTTTTACTAGCCATGGGTGAGCGGGCCAGTCCCTATTTTGCACACTGGTTGGACATCTTTTGAAGTGTCCTTAAATCTGCATGCAGAGGGGCATCATCAGGGAAATAGGTCCAAGTTTTGTGGGATTACATGTCTGTCTTGCTTTAATTCTTTTTTCAACATGGTCTGCAAAGGATAAAAATTAACTAACCATGATTTGTTACAGGGGAGTTTAATTAAATGACAATTTTAGGCCTGATCACGACATGTTACACCACACTTTAGCTTGATACAATGAACCTTTCAACCTTTCAACATGAAAAAGCAAATGAATTGCTGCCCCAGTTTATTTCAACCCCCCACTACTCACACTTACTGTCACCCCTCATCCCTACACCCGCACCCCTGACACCTCTCACACCCTACACTGTCACCCCTACACTGTCACCCTGCACCCGCACCCCTGTCACCGGCTCATCCCTACACACCCTCACCCCTGTCAATCCTCACCCCTTCATCCCTCCTCCCTACACCCTCACCCTATCCCTCACCCCTTCACCCCTCATTTCTACATCCTCACCCCTGTCAATCCTCACCCCTGTCAACCCTCCTCCTCACCTACACCCTCACCCCCTCACCCTCACCCCTTCACCCCATCTTCCCTACACCCTCACCCCTGTCACCCCTCATTTCTACATCCTCACCCCTGTCAACCCTCACCCCTGTCACACCTCACCCCTGTCAACCCTCGTCCCTACACCCTCAGCCCTTCATGCCTCCTCCCTACACCCTCACTCCTGTCTCCCCTCATTTCTACATCCTCACCCCTCACCCCTGTCAACCCTCCTCCCTACACCCCTCACCCCTACATCCTCACCCCACCACACCCCTCCTCCCTACACCCCTCCTCACTGCACCCTCTCCCAACTACACCCTCAGCCTTCATCCCTTCACCCTTACCCCACCTCCTCCTACACCCTTACCCCTTCACCCTCCTCCCTACACCCTCACCCCTTCACCCCTCCTCCCTACACCCCTCACCCCTTCATCCCTACACCCCTCACCCCTACACCCCTCACCCCTGTCACCCCTCATCCTACTCCCTCACACACACACACATACACACACACACACACACCTCATCCCTGAAATAGTAATGAGATTTTGTGTTGCAGGTTGCAAGATGGCGAGGGAAGCTGTAGCTAAACACATCTCCACTCCATCGTCCCCAGTAACAGCACAGGTGAGCGATATCTCTTTCACACATCTACTGGAATGTATATTCCCATTACTGTACTAGAACTGAATTAAAAATGGGATTTATTTTGACAGAGACATTTTGTTTTTGATCAGATGCAATATGTGTCACGTTTCCATGTTTCCTATATAAACATTATTTTTTTGTGCAAATAGAAACCATTATATTTGTAATATACTTGGTTTATACACAAGAAAATGAAACATGATATATTTTTATAATCAAAAATTTAATATATTTTCAGCATATTGTCTTTTGGCCTAATTAAAAGTAGCCAGTGTGTCACCTTTGGTGTGATAAGTAGCCAGTAATTTAACTTAACAGTGATAAGCAGCCAGTAATATAACTTACTAGTGATAAGTAGCCAGTAATATAACTTACTAGTGATAAGTAGCCAGTAATATAACTTACTAGTGATAAGTAGCCAGTAATATAACTTACCAGTGATAATTAGCCAGTAATATAACTTACTAGTGATAAGCAGCCAGTAATATAACTTACCAGTGATAAGTAGCCAGTATTATAACTTACCAGTGATAAGTAGCCAGTAATATAACTTACTAGTGATAAGCAGCCAGTAATATAACTTACCAGTGATAAGTAGCCAGTATTATAACTTACCAGTGATAGAAGTAGCCAGTAATATAACTTACTAGTGATGATAAGTAGCCAGTAATATAACTTACTGGTGATAAGTAAGCCAGTAATATAACTTACCAGTGATAAGTAGCCAGTAATATAACTTACTAGTGATAAGTAGCCAGTAATATAACTTACTAGTGATAAGTAGCCAGTAATATAACTTACTAGTGATAAGTAGCCAGTAATATAACTTACTAGTGATAAGTAGCCAGTAATATAACTTACTAGTGATAAGGCAGCCAGTAATATAACTACTAGTGATAAGTAGCCAGTAACATAACTTACCAGTGATAAGTAGCCAGTAATATAACTTACTAGTGATAAGTAGCCAGTAATATAACTTACTAGTGATAAGTAGCCAGTAATATAACTTACTAGTGATAAGTAGCCAGTAATATAACTTACTGAGTGATAAGAACTGGTAATGTAATATAACTTACTAGTGATAAGCAGCCAGTAATATAACTACTAGTGATAGAAGTAGCCAGTAATATAACTTACCAGTGATAAGTAGCTAGTAATATAACTTACTAGTGATGGCAGCCAGTAATATAACTTACCAGTGATAAGTAGCCAGTAATATAACTTACTAGTGATAAGTAGCCAGTAATATAACTTTACTAGTGATAAGTAGCCAGTAACATAACTTACCAGTGATAAGTTGCCAGTAATATTACTTGCTAATGATAAGTAGCCAGTATGCCAAAGTTTGAAGAGGAGCAGCCACCAGTGGTACCTTAGGGTTGCCTCTAATGTGAGCCTGTAAGCCAATTTAGGAGTGCCTCTAATTTGAGTAGTGCCTTGTAAGTCAATTTAAGAGTGCCTCTAATTTGAGGAGTGGCCTGTAAGTCAACTTAGGAGTGCCTCTAATGATGAGGAGTAGATTGTAAGTCTAATTTAGGAGTGCCTCTAATTTGAGGAGAGGTCTGTAAGTGAATTTAGGAGTGCCTCTAATGTGAGGAGTGTCTTGTAAGCCAACTTAGGAGTGCCTCTAATTTGAGGAGAGGCCTGTAAGTCAATTTAGGAGGGCCTCTAATGTGAGGAGCGGCCTGTAAGTCCATTTAGGAGTGAAAAGTAACCCTCTGTAACAAGTGAATAATAATGCAGTTACGAATAAGTTAGCAATGAACAGTTGACATTAAGGTAACTTACGATTAAGGTAACGTATGATTATGGCAACTTACGAATATTTTATTTTTGGAGGGACTGAAGCCAAAAGGCTCTCTTGCAGGTGAAAAGTTGCAAGTGTTTTGAACAGCGTATAAGTGCTGTGTTGTGCCTAAGATGTTTTGCCTCTGCTGATATCACATGAATTGTTTCATGGAGACATGGGACCAGTTCAAGGTTGTTTATATTTGGATGTTGTTCCAGGATATCATTCTGTGCAGCGGCTGCTCCAGTGCCCTTGACCTTTGCATCACAGGTTTGGCCAACCCTGGTCAGAACATCCTCATCCCAAGGCCAGGATTCTCCATCTACAAGACGCTGGCCGAGTCCCTTGGGATCACCATCCACATGTACGACCTGATTGTGAGTACTTCAATATCTCAACATGAAAGAGTTGCCGGCTTTCCTAATAAATTGTCAGAGTTACTTGATCAAGCTCATAAGTTATGTCCCTTAGTAGTGTCGGGATCTGGTTCCTATTTTACAAAGATTCAAAGTACTGAATATTTGTAGTGTTATGTTTGCCATGTGAAACAGGCCCATAACTGATTATGATTTGATCAATCCCCTTATAACCCCTATATACTACTGTATTACATTGAAATACATATCGGTGTGGTTGTCTTGTTTATCCCTCAAAGGTTAACGTAAATATGTGAATCTCTCCATCTAAGGTTCAGAGACTTCTTAGTTATTTGTCTTACTCATGTTCATAGTAGTCATATACAAGTAGTCATATCAAGTGTTTCCTTCTTCCTCTGATCCTGGGATGATCTTCCTCTGATCCTGGGATGTTCTGTCTCTGGTCCTTGGGTGTTCTGTCACTGATCCTGGGATGCTCTGTCACTCATCCTGGGATGTTCTGTCACTGATACCTGGGATGTTCTGTCTTTGATACCTGGGATGTTCCTGGGATGTTCTGTCACTGATACCTGGGATGTTCCCGGGATGTTCCTGGGATGTTCTGTCTCTGATACCTGGGATGTTCCTGGTATGTTCTGTCACTGCTTTAAACCTGGGATGTTCTGTCACTGCTACCTGGGATGTTCTGTCACTGATACCTGGGATGTTCCTGGGATGTTCTGTCACTGATCCTGGGATGGTGTTTCTCTGGTCCTGGGATGTTCCTGGTATGTTCTGTCTCTGATACCTGGGATGTTCCTGGTATGTTCTGTCACTGATACCTGGGATGTTCTGTCACTGATACCTGGGATGTTCTGTCTCTGATACCTGGGATGTTCCTGGTATGTTCTGTCACTGATACCTGGGATGTTCTGTCTCTGATACCTGGGATGTTCCTGGGATGTTCTGTCACTGATCCTGGGATGTTCTGTCTCTGATCCTGGAATGGTGTTTCTCTGATCCTGGGATGTTCCTGGTATGTTCTGTCACTGATACCTGGGATGTTCTGTCTCTGATACCTGGGATGTTCCTGGTATGTTCTGTCACTGATACCTGGGATGTTCTGTCACTGATACCTGGGATGTTCTGTCTCTGATACCTGGGATGTTCCTGGTATGTTCTGTCACTGATACCTGGGATGTTCTGTCACTGATACCTGGGATGTTCTGTCTCTGATCCTGGGATGTTCTGTCTCTGATCCTGGGATGTCCTTTTCTCTGATACCTGGGATGGTCTTTCTCTGATTGTTGGATGTTTAGTCTCTGATCCTGGGATGTTCTGTCTCTGATACCTGGGATGGCCTTTCTCTGATACCTGGGATGTTCTGTCGCTGATACCTGGGATGTTCTGTCTCTGATCCTGGGATGTTCTGTCTCTGATCCTGATCCTGGGATGTCTCTGACCTGGGATGTCTCTGATACCTGGGATGGCCTTTCTCTGATTGTTGGATGTTTAGTCTCTGATCCTGGGATGTTCTGTCTCTGATACCTGGGATGGCCTTTCTCTGATTGTTGATAGTCCTGATCCTGGATGTTCTGTCTCTGATACTGGGATGGCCTTACCTGATACCTGGGATGTTCTGTCTCTGATCCTGGGATGTTCTGTCTCTGATCCTGGGATGGCCTTTCTCTGATTGTTGGATGTTTAGTCTCTGACCCTGGGATGGCCTTTCTCTGATACCTGGGATGGTCTTTCTCTGATTGTTGGATGTTTAGTCTCTGATCCTGGGATGGCCTTTCTCTGATACCTGGGATGGTCTTTCTCTGATTGTTGGATGTTTAGTCTCTGATCCTGGGATGTTCTGTCTCTGATACCTGGGATGGTCTTTCTCTGATTGTTGGATGTTTAGTCTCTGATCCTGGGATGGTCTTTCTCTGATACCTGGAATGGTCTTTTTCTGATTGTTGGATGTTTAGTCTCTGACCCTGGGATGGCCTTTCTCTGATACCTGGGATAGTCTTTCTCTGATTGTTGGATGTTTAGTCTCTGATCCTGGTATGGCCTTTCTCTGATACCTGGGATGGTCTTTCTCTGATTGTTGGATGTTTAGTCTCTGATCCTGGGATGTTCTGTCTCTGATCCTGGAATGGTCTTTCTCTGATTGTTGGATGTTTAGTCTCTGATCCTGGGATGGCCTTTCTCTGATACCTGGGATGTTCTGTCACTGATACCTGGGGTGTTCTGTCTCTGATCCTGGGATGTTCTGTCTCTGATCCTGGAATGGCCTTTCTCTGATTGTTGGATGTTTAGTCTCTGACCCTGGGATGGCCTTTCTCTGATACCTGGGATGGTCTTTCTCTGATTGTTGGATGTTTAGTCTCTGATCCTGGGATGTTCTGTCTCTGATCCTGGGATGGCCTTTCTCTGATACCTGGGATGGTCTTTCTCTGATTGTTGGATGTTTAGTCTCTGACCCTGGGATGGCCTTTCTCTGATACCTGGGATGGTCTTTCTCTGATTGTTGGATGTTTAGTCTCTGATCCTGGGATGTTCTGTCTCTGATACCTGGGATGGCCTTTCTCTGATACCTGGGATGTTCTGTCGCTGATACCTGGGATGTTCTGTCTCTGATCCTGGGATGTTCTGTCTCTGATCCTGGGATGGCCTTTCTCTGATTGTTGGATGTTTAGTCTCTGACCCTGGGATGGCCTTTCTCTGATACCTGGGATGGTCTTTCTCTGATTGTTGGATGTTTAGTCTCTGATCCTGGGATGGCCTTTCTCTGATACCTGGGATGGTCTTTCTCTGATTGTTGGATGTTTAGTCTCTGATCCTGGGATGTTCTTTCTCTGATACCTGGGATGGTCTTTCTCTGATTGTTGGATGTTTAGTCTCTGATCCTGGGATGGTCTTTCTCTGATACCTGGGATGGTCTTTTTCTGATTGTTGGATGTTTAGTCTCTGACCCTGGGATGGCCTTTCTCTGATACCTGGGATAGTCTTTCTCTGATTGTTGGATGTTTAGTCTCTGATCCTGGGATGGCCTTTCTCTGATACCTGGGATGGTCTTTCTCTGATTGTTGGATGTTTAGTCTCTGATCCTGGGATGTTCTGTCTCTGATCCTGGAATGGTCTTTCTCTGATTGTTGGATGTTTAGTCTCTGATCCTGGGATGGTCTTTCTCTGATACCTGGGATGTTCTGTCACTGATACCATCTTCTTGTCTCTGATCCTGGTTCTCTGATCCTGGAATGGCCTTTCTCTTGATTGTCCTTATCTTCCTGGGATGGCCCTCTCTAATACCTGCCATATTTCCGGTTGTTGGAAATCCCTAGCGGCAAAAGATCGCTAACCTGCAATTATCTCCCTTCTTTCTATCAATCAGAACCGTGTTACATCGACTTAGATTCAATTTGACTAACATTGTTGGAAGCAAATGCGGGGCCACAAATGGCCCCCATCTGATATTGTGTTGATGGTCTTACACACAAGGCGTTTAATGGCTAGCTTGTCCGTTGTCAGCTTGATGGAGGCGCCATTGTCGCCATTACATGACTGAGTTCTGTCTAGAAGAAGCGTTTAGCATGATACCTGGGAAGGTTCTAGTTTTCCGAATTGTTCACGGAAATTAGTCGAGGATCCTGGGATGATCACTTTTTGAAATACCTGGGCTGGATTGCACAACTAAATCGATGCTTGTCTCCAATCCACGGGATGGCCTTGAACGCTCTGACACCAAGGGTGTTCTATTAGAACAGAGGTTATGTAGGAAGATATGATCTTCTTAACCTGGGACATTTCTTTCCAATATTGACTGGGTCTAAGCATGGACATTACATGATAATTATCTGTGAGGTATCTGTCTCTTCACAGCCAGAGAAGTCCTGGGAGGCTGACTTGGACCACTTGGAGCAGCTGATTGACGTCAACACCGCCGCCATCATCGTCACCAACCCCTCCAACCCCTGCGGCTCTGTGTACAGTCAGTGCCACCTGGAGGACATCCTAGCTCTGGCTGACAAGTACAAGCTGCCAATCATCGCAGATGAAATATATGAGCATTTTGTGAGTAAAGGTCTGAAAGGTTCAAGATCAAATTTCTTTGTTGGTGCTGTATGTTTAAGGATAATTATAAAGCATGTGTTCTTAGATGCTAAATACACACAATCTCATTCACTGACAGGCATTGTTTAGGACAGATGCTCAAATAGATTCCCGTCAAACCAAAGACCTACAGCTCTGCACAGATATGTGCTGCACTCTTAAATGACTTGACTTCCAGAGCCACTGGATATATAAAATATTGCAACACACAAGTAGAAGATAGATGACTGGTACAAGCTCACTTTGACCTCCTGTTCAAGTGTACAAAATTACACACATAATAATGGAACCCAATATTATCAGAGAACACACAGAAATTTTGTGAAATTGACATCCCCGAAAATCATTTTTTAACTCTTATTCAACATCACTGTTATCAGGCTGAAGGAGAAAGATTAGTGCAGAAAAAGCATTTGGTGAAAAATTACCTGTGGGATAAATAATAATTCTGAAATGATTTTTCCCTCATTTCAGAGCTGTAAACTTCATACAGATATTAAATTATGGATATTATAAAAAAACAATCTTAGTCTCTGTAAACTGGTTCAGCACCAAACCACAGTCAATAGGATTGATAAGATAAGGTTACACACCAAGTCAGGCTCAGCTACAAAGGTGACACTGTTCCCACAACTACATGTTCTGATAACACTTGGGGCGGTGGGGTAGCCTAATGGTTAAAGCGTTGGCTCGTCACGCCGAAGACCCGGGTTCGATTCCCCACATGGGTACAATGTGTGAAGCCCATTTCTGGTGTCCCCCGCCGTGATGTTGCTGGAATATTGCTAAAAGCGGCGTAAAACCAAACTCAGTCAGTCAGTCAGTCTGATAACACTTAAACAACAACAAAATACTCATTTGAAATGTCCGAAAATTCAGTTATCTGCACTATTTTCTGTTTCCTATGGACCAGGAATTTTTCATGCAAACATGAAACTAAGAATTACACTAGGCTGTGTTCAAATATTTCCTGTGTTCACAGGTGTTCCCGGGCCTGAAGTATCACCCTATTGCCTCCCTCACAAAGGACGTCCCTGTCCTCTCCTGTGGAGGATTGACTAAGAGGTGAGGATTATCAGTGTACTGCTGCTTCCCTTATGGGAAACATAAGGCTCCCTATTCATGGGCTTAGTCAGATGTGTTCAGAGTTGTCCCCCTTGCCCCAGTTGGATAACGTGAACTGTAGAAATCTAGACTTGCCACATTTTCTAGGAAAGATATCCGCCCGTAACCCCGTGTTTTTTTAAATCATTATATGACTAAGAATATATTCGCTTATGTTTTTTTTATAAACAGCCTATACCTAACCCTAAACCCTAACCCTAACCCTAAACCCTTGAAATAATCCTAAGGAATAGAATACATTTCAAGCGGGGGTTACGGGCGGAACTCTTACCATTTTATAGACTTGCATAGGCTTTCATGGATATATTTGCTTCAGGGTCTATGCTAGACTTGCATAGGCTTTCATTGATATATTTGCTTCAGGGTCTATGCTAGACTTGCATAGGCTTTCATGGATATATTTGTTCAGGGTCTATGCTAGACTTGCATGGGCTTTCATGGATATATTTGCTTCAGGGTCTGTATGACAAACTATGACATCAGTTAGGTAATACGTAACATCTGTTAACATTTTTGTATATGAGTCACTTGGGACTCAAACCACTGAAGCTTCCATCCCCCATGGAGCTCTGTCTCTTCATTCAGGGTACAGGGAGGATGTTGACCTAAGGCAAGGGGCCTGTGCCTGAGGGTTTGGGACCAGTTGACAGCAGTGTTACATGACTGTGTATACTTACAGGTATCTGGTGCCAGGCTGGAGACTGGGATGGATTGTCATCAACGACAGACACGATGCACTCACTCAAGTAAGTTGGTACCAATCTCCTGACTGAGGTTTTTAGAATGTTTTATTTCATTCTATAACAGGGGCACTGGGGTAGCCTAATGGTTAAAGCGTTGGCTCGTAACGCCGAAGACCCGGGTTCGAATCCCCACATGGGTACAATGTGTGAAGCCAATTTCTGGTGTCCCCCGCCGTGATGTTGCTGGAATATTGCTAAAAGAGGCGTAAAACCAAACTCAGTCAGTCATTCTATAACAGAAGATCCAGATTAGAATTGGTCTTCAACAACCCATATTGGTCACAAGAGGCAGCTAACATTATCAGGGTTCAGACTCGTTGCCATATAGCTGGAATATTGCTGAGTGCGGCATTAAACAACAAACAAACAAAAATTGAAACAGTTATTTCCCTACTATTGCTACTTGTAATGGGATGTTTGTCGATAGGGTGTGTCAGTACAGAGTTATCTCCCTTCCACTGCTTCTGATGGTAGTTTGCTAGTTAAAGATCACATATACTCTAGGGGGGTACAAATACATAAATCACTAATTGGCATCGTTATAAATGAAACCCCGTCATTAAAACTACTCATTTTGATCTTAAATTAACTTAAATCGACCCTTTTGACAACAGTGCACAATTCTCACCCACGAATGAAATTTCAACCAATCAGAGCGGCGTGTCTCTGTGATGTCATATGAGGAATAGATATGAGGGCCGATGCAGAATTCATGTACATTTCAGGGGGTAAATTATCTTGTTTACAGGTTTGTATAAACCTGAAATCGTGACAACTGTTGTGAAAAATGAAAGCTATATGTTCTCACAATCTACTGTCATTTAATTTTGTCTCCTGCTTTGCCTAGTTTCCGAGTTACAACTTATTTTCATAGACGATTCTGTCAAAAACGCTTGGTGTCGCTTGGCCTTATTTGTTCGAGCCAGACGCTAGTGATAGTGAAAACGATGATCAGCCTCGCTCATCACGGTTACGGTTAATTTCTTGAACCTAAACAGTGCGACATTAAGAAGGGTGGATGCCCATCAGATGCAGTTATTTGAAAAGTAGTTCTTGTCTGATTGTAATAAAGTATCAAAGCAGTGTGGGCTTTTTCAGGTTTTCTAATGCCTGGATGGTATAATGACTGATCCAAATTGATCCAATTTCTGTGTTTTTATTTTATCTCGATATTTAATCATGTCATGTAAAAATATGACGTCTATTAGGTATGATATTAAAAAGTGACATTTGATTTATTTGAATATGTAAACTAAACAACCCTACTTTGCCACTGCTAGAAAAATCTGAAAATGTACTTAGGTAAATAGGTACATACAGTTTTAGCACACAGCAAATGCTTATGTGTATGTCTTATGCAACAATGAAGTTCTGTTTGTATTCTCGAAACAGTGTCGGCCCATAAGTTTTCACATGCAATTAGAGTTGCAGCAATTAATACTCCCTTGTTGTAACCCATGTGTAACCCACAGATGAATTGCAAATTTTATCATTGTACAAAATTGCCACATAAATATAAATAGTACACAGGTTTATCATTTACTAATACCCAACAGCTTTCTTATATTTGAAAATTTTCCGGACTCCACCAAATAAGTTGTTTAAGAAACTATCATGATTGAAAACGCAAAAGTTGTTATCTGTCGCTGCGGGGTGAAACCGCAGAAACGGAACAGCCAGTCATGTCATCAAAATCTATTCCGGGAGACCTGTCGGTTCCTCGTCTGTCGTAATGTCATAGTCACGACTTAAAGGGATGACAAGTGGTGCCACAGTTGCCTGTTGTAAGCCATTCCGAGACCAGTAACCTTGTTCAATGACGTTAGCTACCTTGTTGACACAGTTTTGCCACATTTAGTCGTGATTTTGTTAGGGATTCCTTGTGGTTGGTGAGGTCTGGGTTGATGCTGGTGGTGTTTCTTGTGGTAGGTGAGGTCTGGGTTGACGCTGGTGTTGTTCCTTGTGGTAGGAGAGGTTTGTGTTGATGCTGGTGTTGTTTGTGGTAGGTGAGGTCTCTGTTGAGCCGGTGTTGTTTCTTGTGGTAGGTGAGGTCTCTGTTGATGCATATATTGTTTCTTGTGGTAGGTGATGTCTGCGTTGATGCTGATGTTGTTGTTTGTGGTAGGTGAGGTCTGGGTTGGTCCGCCTGTCCCAAAGGATCCTTGGACCAAACTCTCTCATCCAGGCAGCTGTCCCAGACATACTGGAAAAGACACCTGCTTCATTTTATCTGGAAACCCTCAACTACATTAAGGTAAGATTACAGTAGTTGCAGAAAGAAAGATTGTTAAAGATTAAACCTATTTTCTGCCACAATTCTTTAGTGTTTTACAGAAATCTTTTCATTCACACATTTATATATTACCATCAAATATAGGTTTGTCATGAGGAGAGGAAAGTAATAGCTCCCTCATAGTGAGTTGTCTTGAGTATGACTACTTATACAAACTGTATTTATACAATTGATGATATGATGTTGGTCCTTATTCAATAAAGCATAGCAATATTGGAATCCTGATTTTACCCTGAAATGTTGCCATCTTTGGGCATTCAAGAGAAGAATACCTTTAGTATATGATACCTGTCCTGAGAGTGTAAGATGAAGGAGAGCCCAGTTGTCTGTGGTGCTGCAGATCACACACACACACACTCATTCACCCACACATGCATGCTTACTCACGCACACAGGCACACACACAGGCACACACACACACACACACACACACACACACACACACACACACACACACACACACACTCAGTCACCCACCCACACATGCATGCTTACTCATGCATGTGTGCGTGCGCAGGCATGAATGCACACAGGCAGACACACACACAGGCAGACACACACACAGGCATGCTCACTCACTCACTCATTCTATGTCTGTACAGAGGAACGCAGAGCTGTTCTATGAGCGTCTGTCTGCCGTCCCCGGACTGGTTCCAGTCATGCCGCAGGGTGCAATGTATATGATGGTAATGTATTAACCACTCACTGCAGACAGTCCTGCCTTGATGACATTCAGATGGTGATACAGTACAAATACATCCTTGTAAATATTACCATAGATATTACCTTAACTTTAAAGTCAATAGCTAAAAATGTCAGCTGTTTGTTTAAATAGAACCCTCAGTTTTTTCACGGAATTACTGCATGACGTCGGTATTGGTTTACCTTGGCAGTTGGTTGATGTGGAGCGCATGACAATGATTTTCTGCCTCCATTACAGGTCGGGTACGACAAGGACTTGTTCCCCGAGTTCAAGACAGATATTGACTTTACACAGAGTCTGGTGACGGAGCAGAGTGTGTTCTGTTTGCCTTCTACTGTAAGTGACGTACAAAGGAAATTATTGTCTTTGTATTAATCCATTTAAGAAATATTTGATTTGATGGCAAAGATGTGATTCACTCCCTCTGAAATGATGCCTAAAAATAGTTTTGATATCCTTGACAAAAGTGTATTGATGTGGAGTGAGTGAGTAAATGAGTATGGTTTTACGCTGCTTTAAGCAATATTCCAGCAATATCATGGCGGTCGAACCAAGGTGTTTGGCATGATGAGCGGACATTTAAACCACTAGGCTACCCCTTCACCCCATGTTGAGGAGGAAGGGATTATGATGAAAACTAATAATGTTAAGGTGTACACTCCGTTTGGCTCAAAAGCGGACCGATGAATTGCAATCTAACTCGAAAACTAATAAACATAACATACTCAATAAAACGCTGATGATAATCAAAACATCATACCAACTCTGTGAGGTTTTTGCAGAATTTTTGTCCTAAAAATTAAAAAGTTGTTTAACAATCTATCATTAAAATATTGACACAGTTCACTGTTTGTTACGAGGGAGGAGTGCAGAGAAAGGGACAGCCAGGTGTTCGAGAAGCACGTTCACAGACAAAGTTATTTATTCATTAACATGTGCTGTGCCGTCTCGATCCGTTCTCGAACACCTGGCTGCCCCTTTCTCTGCACTCCCCCCTCGTAACAAATAGTGAACTGTGTCAATATTTTAATGATAGATTGTTAAACAACTTTTTTAATTTTAGGACAAAAATTCTGCAAAAACCTCACAGAGTTGGTATGATGTTTTGATTATGATCAGCGTTCCATTGAGTATTTTCTGTTTATTAGTTTTCGAGTTAGATTGCAATTCATCGGTCCGCTTTTGAGCCAAACAGACTATAAGTCAAAACCCCTTGTTCTTCAGTGCAATACAACGTAGAATGTAGACCTGAATATAGTATGTTGACTTAAATGGCTGTTAGGTTGATAGTGGAAGCATGAAGCTTTGTATCCTTTCTCCTTACAGTGTTTCCAGTACGCAAACTTCTTCCGCATTGTGTTGACCGTGCCAACCGAGAAGGTGACCGAGGCTTGTGACCGGATCCAAGAGTTCTGCAACAACCACTACACCGCTGTTGCCAACGGCGTCAACGGCCACCAGCATTGATCATGTGCCTTTCAAGCATAGATCAGCAGTGTTCAAGTATAGATCAGCACTGTTCAAACAAAGATCAACAATGTTCAAGCATGGATCAGGATTGTTTAAGGCATGATCAAACATATTAGAGAATGATCAACCACTGTTGAAGCATTATTTACAGGGGTGAGAATTTTCCGCAGAATTGCACGAATTTGATAGCGCTGGGGTCATTCTTGTGAATCGTCTAAATCCGAAAGGAAAGGCTCCCCGGCTCATTTTCCTCTTTTTTCACTCATAAACATGCTCATCCCTGTATTCAAGAATTAAGCATGAATCCAGCAGAGCTTGATGATAGATTTAGCTGTGTTTGTGTTGGATCATACACTAAGCTTTTTGATCATACACTAAGCTGTGTTGGATCATACACTAAGCTGTGTTGGATCATACACTAAGCTGTGTTGGATCATACACTAAGCTGTTTGATCATACATTAAGGTGTTTGATCATACACTAAGCTGTGTTGGATCATACACTAAGCTGTGTTGGATCATACACTAAGCTGTGTTTGATCATACACTAAGCTGTGTTGGATCATACACTAAGCTGTGTTGGATCATACATTAAGCTGTGTTGGATCATACACTAAGCTGTGTTGGATCATACACTAAGCTGTGTTGGATCATACACTAAGCTGTTTGATCATACATTAAGCTGTGTTTGATCATACATTAAGCTGTGTTTGATCATACATTAGGCTGTTTTGGATCATACACTAAGCTGTGTTTGATCATACGTTAAGCTGTGTTTGATTATAGAATATACAGCAGTTGAGTATGGGTTTGGCTGTGTTGGTGCATAAGTTAAGAAATGTATGTGCACAGACTGAACTGTTTGTTCATGGAACAGGCCATGTTTGAGCATTGATGAAGCAACATTTGACTCTTGACCAAACCAGATACAGTTCAGCCAATAGAAAGTAGTGGGGATGCTTGTAGACAAGGTTGTAGATAAATTAATACAGGACATTTATGAGTGGAATCTCTGTGTCTTGGGACTGCACAGTTGATCAGAGTTTTTGCTGACGACAATCCTTTCATTGGACTTTCTTATTAATCAATACAATTTATGTTAACATTCTTCAGTATGTCTTGGAAAACATTCTGTATTTTGCAAAAACATGAGACCAATTAAAAACCCTGAAATGCACTTATTTGTAAACAAAATGTATATGTCATAATCATGATTTCTCTTAACTTACTTTAGAAACAAATAGATGCATATTTTTTAGAAAATGGAACATTTCCAAACAGTCATTTTCTCACAGAAGTTTTTTTGGCTGTAGATTATTTGAATTATCACTGTGGACATGTACGTCAACAGACTGGTTCAGATGTGGTCTTATATTTTTTATAATCCTTACTGGAATTTATAAAAGTATCACCATTTCAGGAGTTTTGACTACAGCAAATCTGGAAAACATATATACATTACTGATATCAAAATTATTTTGTGCATGATATATATTTTTTATATTCCTGTTTGTTTACTTTGCCTATATTCAAGTGCCTTTGATATTTTGATATATATAAGTATCTACTATTGTGTGATCTTAACTGATAATACAGGAGCCTTAATGATGATGCAGCCATCCTAAGAATGCAGCTGTGGACGATGCAGCTGTGGTCGATGTATAAATATATGAGAAATATAAAACAAAACATGTACTTTTTTCTTTCCGAATTTACTCATCAACATGGCTGACGCATGTCATCATATCCCTAGTCCTTAGATGAAATCACTGGATTGTCTGGTCCAGATTAGATTATTTCCAGCGCTGAAAGTTAGCTGGAATGTTGCTTTATTCAGCAATAAACAAACTGAGGTAATCCCTGTAGTATTATGATGAGTTTGCTGATATATTTTAAGTGATATTTAAGTTTTTGTTGATCCGTATTGTTTTGTATCTATAGTGTGAAATAGATGGGCGAATTATGCAGATTTATGCGCACAAGAAATTGCATTTTCTTGCCTGGCACAAAGTGAGGTTGAATTCTCAGTGTGACACCAATATGATTATTTTCAAAATGTCATGGTTTTAGACCTGTACATTTGAGTTGTTGTTTTTGTTAATAGGGCCAGCCCAATTTTATTTTTCGTTTTACAGATTTTTGTCCTCAGAAAACCTAAAGGCAGGAGGGAAAAAAATAAAATCACCAGTCAAAGCAAAAAACCCACATGAGTTTTTCAAAGGCATCGTTTTTCAACTTCACACTCGCTGAGGTGCTTGAAGTACTGATTTCTAACACAAATATTGTTAAATTATTCAGTTTAAAGTCTCTGAGAACAGATACCGGTGTTTTAGTTTCCAACAAACTGCCTTGCGTTGGCGAAGTATCGCTCCCCCGAAAACCTTAACATTAGGATTTTATTTTTCGAGTGGGGGAAATATATTTATATATGTTTTCTTATTCTTGAACAAATACGACCGGCGGATCCATAAAACAAGAAATAATATTGGTCTGGCCTAATGATATTTTATTGAAGCGTTAAGTTTGCCTGTTTCAGAATTCTTGCACAAAAATTTTGTTGTTTTAAAATGTATTGTTTTAACATAAAATGGAGTATTATTTGAACCTTTTATGATCGTTCATCAGAGACTGTGACAATGTCTGCAGGAGGCAAGACATGTCAAACAATTGTTTTCAGACGATCAGCAGTTTTGTCAAACAATCAGTATTTTTGTCACGCAATTAGTTGTTAAGACAAACTGTGTTACAGCTGCAAGTCAACCATGTGGTGTGATGTTTCACATGACTGCCTGATATTTCACATGACTGCCTGATATGTACATTTTGCTCTGAAGGAGTAATGCTTCTTAGAAAAAAACAGTTCACATTGTGATGGAATTAACTTGTTATTTTTTGGATCACAAATCCACAGTCTATATTCAACATTTATGTAACATTCAATTCAAATTAATACTTATCCGTTTTGCTGACTTCACTTAAAGATTTTAGTATATTATTATCAGGTTTAGGAAAAATCAACACTAGTATTGTTGTTGACGTCTTGTATGTTATCTCATTGATAGTAATTAGTGATTCAAGATAATATTACAATGAATCCTTGGGATTCAGATCCATGATAACAATGATCTTATTATGAGTTCCAATTGACTATAGAGTGTATCAGTATTAGATCAGGTGTTGGTATATTCTGCTGGGATTAACTGGGTAGTCCGAAACAATGTTTTGGAGTTTGTTTTACTGCATATGATGGTTTTGCTCTTAGAGATTAAAATTTGGATCTTTGAAATATAACTTTGTAATTGTGCTGTGCTTGTACATATAAAATCTTGTTCCCATCGCTATATGGCGGAAATAATGTTGATGCAATGTTAGACATTGATTCAGTCATTAGTTGTAAACGATTGTGATATGTGTATCTTCTCAGACAGTGTATGAAAATACAGGGTTACAATCAGCAGCAGCATGTTTTACGTGATATCTTAACTTGGTAAGATTCCATGTAACCTCTGAACTGTGTAAGATATTTCCCAATGTCTAGACCTTTGAAGATAGTATGTAATGTCTGGACTTTGTAAAATCTGAAATTTGAAGTATCATAAGTAATGTGTGAGCTTTATGAGATTTTACATAATATCTGAACTTTATGATAATGCGTAATGTCTAAACTTTATATGAATTTAGTATATTTTCTGTTCTCTGTTCAGCTGGCAAGAATATGGCCTCATTCTATTGATATTGAATAACCCAAGAGATTGTTGTCATGTTAGTACCAATACACCTCAGTTAAACTAGACAGACCTTGATGAATCCTTTTGTAAAATGGTTTATGTACCAGTAACATATTTCTGCATTTACTGAACTATTTTTGATACGTTTATGTAAAATACCAAACAAAATATTTGAATAATTGTTAATTATCTTGTAATATTGTACATCCATTTCAAAGATTCTTGCGACAACCCTTCGAAGCATGTTATTTGTAGATATTATATGACATTGTTTGACCAGCTTGGTATGTAACTGTAAACTCTATATGATGATGATGATGATGATGATGATGATGATGATGATGTTGTTATATAGATAGAGATGCATTCCAAGTCAACATATCAGAACTATTTAGACCGTTCCAGTCTATTTTGTTAAACATGATGCTGCAATGATATTGTGATAGAATCTGGAGGCATTGCAATTAAATATTTTATTTTTTAGTTCTAAAGCTGACGATGTGATTTTGAATAAATGGCCTAAGAACGTGATAACAAATGAATGTTTATATTTTAACCAAAGTGACAATCCAATTTAACTCTTATCAATGATCAGATTAATTTTCTTGTACAATTATGATGTGATTGTGTTCTGTTTGTGTAGATACTGTGTAGAGCTGACCATTGTTAGGTTTTGTTTTGATCGGAGGCACAGGTGGCCTAATTGTCTAACATGCCACGTATTGTCCCCCTTTACAGTGTCAGGATCTGCTGATGATAATGGGTTTGAATCCTAGCATCATGCTAGTGCTAGTATCTGCATCAAGTCTGTACAGTGCGATCTGTACATAAGGTGTCAGGATGTATACTCCCCAGGGTGTTGAGAACATAAATCAGTGATCCATAAACCGAGGTAATTATGTTGTGGTTTAGGGTATGGATTTAGCACATTATACCTATGTACATTATAATCCACATTATTATCAGTGTGATAGTGGTAATGTCACTTTATTATGGTGGAGGTGAGCTCAGTTGGTTTACATGCTGCTTATGCAGGGTAACATTGTATACCGGTATTGTTGTTGAATCCTTTCCTTTTCAAAAGTCCATGAATAAAATATGTCATGCAGAAAAAAATAATAAAACCAGAAGAATACAGTTAATGTAAATATGAACATATGCTGAACTCATTGATGGGCACGTAGAAGTAGAAAAACAGTCGAACTTTGTACAGTAAAATTGTGATACAAAATGTAAATAAGTCTTTTAGAATGTGGAAGGCCATGAAAGCAAAATATTTTTTTTGACTTGCAATAAGACAATCAAGATTTAGATTTGTTTTTTTCGCAAAAAAAACCCCCAGCTTTTATGCATGTTTATATATTTACGATGAGTCTCAACGTGTAGATAGATGGTTACTGCGCACATACCGGTGACATGACATATATATATATATATCTGTTGACACGTTTTACCATTTCAACTTGTTATTTATCAGTAGTAAGTGTTTTACTATCAGTAGTAAATAGCGTGTGTTGACCAAGTCGTATTGTTGTGCAATGAATCAACTGGTCCCGGTGCGTGAAGTGTTATGTATGATCTGCCTGTTGTATTGACATACAATGTGATGGTAAGGAAAGACAATCTCTGAAACATGACTTGGTCTTGCAAGTTGAAAGAAATTGATATAGAATATCATTTAGATATTTAAATGGTAAAGGCTCATGACAATCTCTGACAACATGACTTGGTCTTGCAAGTTGAAAGAAATTGATATAGAATATCATTTAGATATTTAAATGGTAAAGGCTCATGACAATATGTGACAACATGACTTGGTCTTGCAAGTTGAAAGAAATTGAAAGAAATTGATATAGAATATCATTTAGATATTTAAATGGTAAAGGCTCATGACAATCTCTGACAACATGACTTGGTCTTGCAAGTTGAAAGAAATTGATATAGAATATCATTTAGATATTTAAATGGTAAAGGCTCATGACAGTCTCTGACAACATGACTTGGTGTTCTATTAGAAAGAGAAAAACATATCATTGTAATGTCATGGTTGAAGACAATCTCTGAAAACATGTCTTACTTTCTAAAAACATGACTTTGTATTACAGGATGAAAATAGGAAAACGTATTATTGTAATGATAATGGTTGATAGCAATCTCTCATAACAATACCAGACAGATGTGGGTATTTTTATCCTTTTGAATGTCAGTAAGAGTCATCTTTTCGCTCATACAGTTGTAAAGTATAAGGGTATGTGTGTGTATATATGTATCTCTCAACACAAGTGTCTTAAGGTCGTTCTTATCAAGCAAGGCAGCTGATGTGAGTGTGCAGATATATTGTGATATCCCAGATTGTAACAACTATGTAAATAGATCGTCCAATGAATACTGGTGAAACATTGTCACATTGTTTTCTCTGTATATCCTGACTTTTGCTTCTAAAATATATTGAGAAATATCAATGATAAACACACTTTTATTATTGAAGGACAAACAGTGATATTAAACACTGGTAAAGTATTTTTTATAGATCTGTGGTATCTTATAGATTTCAAATATTGCATGTTACACTATATTTGTTAAGGATGCTGTAATGTTAAAACCTTTGTGCCTTACAACTGATAAATTACAAACACAGGCTTGTATACATCGCTACTCAACTTTTGCTTGCTGTTTCATTCTATTTACATGTACACATTGTCAGTGAATAGTCTGGTGAATCCTGAAAATATGGGGAACAGGTATTAAACGTTGGATGGTATATATTAGAAAGGTGATAAAACTGTTTTCCTTTTTAATTTTTTAATTTTAAGTTTTAACTATCTGTTGATAGAAACCATGGCTTATTATGACCATTGTGGTGCTCAGCATCTTGGTGATGCTTGTTCCTGTAGAGATACATCTATATTAAAGTATAGTCCGTGGCCAATTGAACAGCGATGCGTTCAAATGAATATTTGGCCTTAAAATGTGCCTTAATCATTCCACCATAGTTCCTGAGTGTTGGTTACCTTGGTATTAATCAAAATGGCTTTGGAAGCATATACTGTATTCAAGAAAACTGCTTTTACTGACAATAGTATTAATTTGCAAATGTGATGATGCTAACCAAACTGCAAACGTATGATATATCCAAGAAATCTCCCATGTACATTTATTTTTGCTGTTTAAATAGCATTGGTTATTCTATGAAGATATGTTTTTGTGTGTGCGTGTCCAATCTAACCTATATATATGTATGTTGTGCTGGGTGAAAATACTTGACATTTGAAACTGTTTTATGTATTGAGGTTCTGGGAAGCTCTTGTGTTGTTGGTTACATATCTAGTTATGTAGTGTAGATCAGCGTGTTAACATTGGGATGGACTGTTTTGACCTATGTTTTATACAGATATACATATATATATTTTATGTAAATGTGAAGTTTGTCAAAATAAGATATGATTGCTGTGCGGTTGATGCTTAAGACCTCGTAATACTTACATGTGCATTGTGACGATGTCTCTACCATGGAATCTATGAGTGCTTACTTTCTGTTCATGAATCAGTCGTTTAAGAGAAAAAATAATGGTAATTTACAGAATTCAAAACAGGGATGTTAGTTTGTTATTTACAGACTGCAGCCATACAGCTGGAGTATTGGGGCGTTAAACAACAGACAGAGAGCGCATGAAACAATATGATGAGGATAAACAAGGGAAGGGGTTGTCATCCAATGGCGGTAACAAGCCAGCTCGCGTGTCTTGTGTTATTCTTTGGACTCATACAGCACAGGTCTCTTTGCCGTCTTATAAACTTTCTCACTCACCTGATATAACTGAAATACTGTTAGGTGTAGAACTCACTCACTCACTCACTCTACCCAGAGTCCTCTATGTCAGGGATGTCAAGCAGGGACCCACAAGGACCATATGGCAGCTATTCCACAGAAGTGCTCATTTCAGTATTGTTCAATATTATTTTGACAAACTTCATTTTGTTTGCTTTAAATCAGTGACGATAGCACAAATATATACATTCATAATGACTGTCAATCTGTGTTTGTGTAGACAACCTTTTGTTGTTGTGTGATTTATTTTTAATAAACTTATTTTAACAACATGCCCTGTTTTATGTTATGTGTAAATCAACCATGAAATGAAAACACTCAATCGTGACAACTCAGGCAATTAAATAACAGAAAAATCTTCATATTTGGGTTTGTAGATATATATCAGAAACATTCAGGCAAAATATGTTAAGTCCAACAATGAACAGAGGCGTCATCACATGTATTCCAAAAGCTAAGAAAAATAGACAGTTGTTAAAAAACTGGCGCCCAGTTTCCCTACTGAATTCTATGTATAAAATACTCAGCGCATGTATAAAATACTCAGCACATGTATAAAATACCCAGCACATGTATAGCCAATAGAATTAAAACAACATTGAATACTCTTATTCATGAAACTCAGACAGGTTTTATACCTGGAAGGTGTATCAGTGAGAACATTAGATTATTATACGACATTATGTTTGAAGCTAAATTACAAGGTAAGAAAGGGCTCTTGTTACTTATTGACTTTGAAAAAAGCTTTTGACACTGTGGCTAAAGAATTTATAATTTTAACAATTGGAAAGTTTGGCTTTGGACCCAATATGGAAAAATGGATCAAAATATTAATCAATAATGCTACATCATGTTTGACAATGAAAGGGGCTGTAGACAAGGGGACCCAGTCTCTCCCTATATATTCCTCTTAGTGGCTGAAATTTTAGGAATAATGATCCGTAACAACACTGCAATAAAAGGAATTACATTGAATAACACTGAACATAAAATTGGACAGTATGCAGATGATACTGAATTATTTCTTGATGGGCATGAAGAAAGTTTAAGGGCAGCAATTGACACTCTCAATCGTTCTACAAAATGTCTGGTTTGAGAATAAATATACATAAAACTAAAGCAGTGTGGATAGGTTCAATGGCAGGTAATAGCATGATTTTATGCGAGGATCTTAAGCTTGATTGGCATAATGGGGATTTTGATATTCTAGGAATAAGGCTTAATCCTAATTTAAATAACCTTTGGGTAATTAATACAAGAAAAAGACTAGAAATTATTAATAGAACTCTGGGGAATTGGAGGAAAAGAAGTTGACATTAATAGGGGAAATATCTGTTATTAAAACTTTAGCGCGCTTTCATCATTGGTGCATATATTCACTTCACTCCCAAATCCTCCAAAGGAATTCATTGACAAATTAAACAATATATACTGTAAGCCATTAAAAACGCAATTGGTATTTGTTGTCCTGAAACTTACAAAAGTTCTATTGAAGATATTTTCCTGCGATACAGTGGCTGTAGGGATAAAGGGTTTTATTCTGGCCCATTTCGAGTTCGAGTCCCGGAGCATTCCCCTCACATGAACTTTGATACTTAAAACTGAACCTTTGATATTTCTCGTAAACACAACCACATTCATTAAACACGTTGTGCACATGCATTACCTGCACCCAGGCCCTGTAAAAGCACAAGGAATTGTGGAACTCAATCACTTTGAGAAAATGCCACACTTGACACAAGACGAAAGGAATCAGGTTATCGGTATGGTCAGCCAAGGTGTTTCAGATGTGATGATTGCCAGGCACTTTAATGTGCATCCATCCACTGTAAGTCGACTCAGACAACGTTTTCGGGCTACCGGAAGTGTTGCTGATCATCCGCGACCTGGTGCACCACCTGTGATAACAGCTCGACAAAACCGCAATATCCGAGTTTCACACTTGCGAAATCGGTTCAAAACAGCTGATGATTAGGCAAGGAGGACAATTGGGGCAAGTCAACGTCATTTCAGCGCCCAAAAGGTGCAAGGACGCCGTGCTGCCTTCAACATCCGGTGTCGTCACCCGTACCGTGGTCCAACCTTATTGCATCGCCACAGACTTGCCAGACAGCGATGGGCAGCAAATGGGGCCAATCTTGGCAACAGGACATGGCCAGATGTCATTTTTTCAGATGAATCCAGGTTTAAATTCTCCTTTGCAGATGGACGTCAACAGATTTATCCACGTAAAGGAGAAAGACTTGCGCCAAACTGTGTCCTTGAACATGATCGTTTTGGAGGGGGTAGTGTCATGATCAGACCACAGACCATCAGAGGCTGCAGACCATCCAACAGCTGTTCCTGAGAAATGTGTGTCTTTCAATGCACCAAAGACTGCGAGCGTAAAAATATTGAGTGATATTTTCAAGACAGAAAAGTTTATTGCCAGTAAGAATCAAAACATATTACAATTTGACAGAAAATGGTCATCTCTACTGCACACATTCCCGCTTAATGAAGATTCCAATATGTGTTACGCCAACCCATATGAATTTCTGTTTTATTGTGTACAAGTGCTGTTGCATCATGTACTTTGGATATTTGTATCTACTGATTTTGAATGAATAAAAAAAAATTAAAAAATTAAAATTAAAATTAAATAACAACCTCTGATTCTGACAGTTCATCTGATCACAGGATCGTGCTGCCATCACCTCCAGAAACAAGATGTCCATTTGGAACATCCAGGTGACGTACATCTACATTAATTCATGTGGTTAAAGTTTTCGCTCGTCTTGCTGAAGACCAGGGTTCAATTCCCCACATGGGTACAATGTGTGAAGCCTATTTCTTGTGTCCCCCGCTGTGATATTGCTGGAATATTGCTAAAGACTGCTTGTTTCAAGAGGAGCAGACTCGCGATGGTTGGCGATTAACATGGTCAGGTCACAATGTTGGGAGACTTGGTTGATTGGTGTCGTTTAACCCGGGATGCATGGGTTATTGATGATAATATAATTCACCTGGTTGTCTTGTCCAGATTCATTTATTTCCAGGCCTCCGTCGTATAGCTGCATTATTCCTTATTAACAGACCCCTGAAGATCCGGGTTAGAATCGATCTTCATTAACCCATGCTTGTCGCAAGGGGCAACTAACGGGATCGGGTGGTCCGTCACACTGACTAAGTTGACACATGTCTTCGGTTCCCAATTGCGTATGTCGATGCTCATGCTGTTGATCATTGGATTGTCTGATCCAGACTCGATTACATGTATTTACAGACCGCCGATATGTATAGCTGGAATATTGCCGAGTGCGGCGTAAAACTAAACTCACTCACTCCTATTAACAACAAAGCTGTTGTTGTGTTTTGCTTATTACTCCCACTTATCACCTGATGGTTCCAATGTAACCTTTGTTTGTTGTTTAACGCCGAACTCAGCAATATTCCAGCTATTTGACGGCGGTCTGAAAATACTCGAGTCTGGACCAGACAATCCAGTGATGGACATCATGAGCATCGATCTACGCGTTTGGGATACGATGACATACATCAATCAAGTCAGCGAGCCTGACCACCCGATCCCTTTAGTCGACTCTTACGGCAAGCGTGGGTTCCTGAAGACCAGTTCTAACCCGGATCTTCACAGGGGGAGACAAGCGTAGGTTCCTGAAGATCAGTTCTAACCCGGATCTTCACAGGGGGAGACAAGCGTGGGTTCCTGAAGACCAATTCTAACCCGGATCTTCACAGGGGGAGACAAGCATAGGTTCCTGAAGATCAGTTCTAACCCGGATCTTCACGGGTATCCAATGTGACGGCCTAGCCAAATAATAACAGCGAGGCTTTAAGGATGCAGGTTTTTTTAATCAGTTAAAAGCACAATTCACTTGCAAAACATACAAAAATAAAACATATTTTCACTCAGACAGGAGACTTCGGCTCCAGTCCGGACTGGAATGGTGAGTTTACTGTACAGCAGGATTAAGTGACACGTGCTGATTGCAGTACACGGAAAAAGCGGCGTAGTGGTGATGGTTGGACACACGACTTCAGCTAAACTGGTTTTTATTTAGCATAAATTGAAAATTAAACCATGCAGAGAAATTGTCAAGTTCCATTTAGCGACAAACAATTTGGTCAAGATTTTGACAGGACGTTTTTGAGTATATTCATATTCGTGCGGCGATGTCACGCAAAGCAAGTTAAAGAAAACGTGATGTTTTTCATATGGTTATATTAATTTTGTTATAATATGACAGATGAACTTTGTAATCTGAAAAAAAACGGGTGTTCGTAGATTTACATTATAAGTTACATTATTTTCCCTTCGTGGTGAAAAAATTCCATCTCGTATGTCCGGTCATTGATATTGAAGCATTCTATATAGGCGCGGAAGACAATGCATTCATTAACCAGAGACATATTCAGAAACAAATTATCAAAAACAGATTTTATTAATTTTGGTTAAGTGTTATGACGTTTTTCCGTTTCTTACTCCAAAGGCCGGCCATTTTACAAGTGACTCGGGAATAATAAACTATATGATAGATTTCTTGCTGACATGACAATATTGCATTATTAACCAATTAGGTGTTGGTACCAGAGTGTCTTTCGTGTCATTGCCAATTATGCTTTATTATCAATTAATTACAGATAATAGAAAGCAACAATGTAAACACCTCTTATGATTGTAGACGGGAGCTTGAGGGGATGCGTTCTAGTCGATATTTGATTTGATGACCGGTCGGATGACGAGAGTACAATCTTACCCACCACTTAACAGGTTGGTCAGGGGAGAAAGAACGTTCACACATAGGCGTTTGTTTAACACCGAACTCTTGGCTCATGTTCTGTGTGTCTTGTTGGGTCAGATAGAGGGTTGTAATCTATACAAAGAGTTGTCACGTCACCGTCATGGACAAGTTGGCCATCTGTTACCCTGGGCAACGCAAATATGATGTCGAAAGACTAAAAAGCAGCCTGCCTGTGTTTGGAATTTCACAAAGGCCACAGAAAATATAATACTATGTTAAGACCAATTATGATAAAAATTTCATTACAAAAGAGTTTATAAATTGATGAAATATGTCTTAATAAATATCTTTTAAAATGTTAACAAATTTGTGTTAAAATCATCAACCCGAGGTACATTAATGAACTATGAACTTTAAACGTATTACAAGTATAAATGTACAACGACAAGGTGTGGACATTCTTCAAATCGTAAAACACCGGAACAAGAAAAGTCAAAGATAACATTACCATAAAATTACAGAAATTCAAATAACAGACAATATTTTATGTTCAACTTGAAATTTAGACTAGAATGAACCCTATAATGATCCCGAAACAGACATATAATTGACTTATAGACATGTGAGGCCTCTTTGCTGTGCTATGTTTAACGGGTAACAAAACGCACTGGTCGAGGTTTGGGGTAAGGTGTGGGAATTTGTGAGTGTCACAACACTTAATTATGCATACTTCAGCAATGTCACGGAGAGAACACCATGACCTTGTGTGAGTGAGTGTCACACTTCAGCAATGTCATGGCCGGGTACACCTTGTGTGAGTGAGTGTCACATCACTTCAGCAATGTTTCAGCAATGTCACAGTGGAGAACACCGTGTGTGAGTGTCACACTTCAGCAATGTCACAGCGGAATACACCATGTGTAAGTGTCACAATACTTCAGCAAAGCTTCAGCAATGTCATGGTAGAGTACACCGTGTGTGAGAGCACTTTGTTCAATATCACACAGTGACAGGGTAGTGTTAAAGGGAAATTGATGTTTGCTAAAAACCACGATAATGATTTCTGGCTAACAGACCTAACATGATAATCGCGGTGACGCTGGGCTACAAACACATTATCAGCTGATCCTGTCAAAGCAAAGGGAAGCCACTATTCGTGACTTTCTATTAGGGCGCCTTAAACGACTGCAAAGTACACAGCAACGGTGAAGCATATCTATGTTGTTGTTCAACTTTTCGGCAGTAAAAATCAAAATGCATAGAAGCATTTTCACACAAACTTTACACATAGATATACAATATTCAGTTAAAATCACATTTATAGAATCTGTACGTAGGCACTTTGAAATATATACAATATTAAAATCACAAGATAACAACGCATTTCATACTTCAGAAAACATCCATCAGAAACAACAATCATGACTGGACATCGTTGTTGAGAAGTTACAAAGAAGTTTCGTCAGGAACATGGAATGTGTATATAATTATCAAGACCCGCGCGGGCTTCACGAGGGAAATATACCTGTAACATACTCGCTCTACTACACGGGAACGTTAAGTTATCTTATCAACCGTGAACGGCAAACTTCGCGCAATACGACGGAGTCTGTAATCGAGCCTGGACCAGACAATCCAGTGATTAACAACGTGCGCATCGACCTACGTAAGTAGGATGCGATGGCGAACCTCCCCGTTCTCACAGAAGTGTTCAGTGAGTCTTCGTATGCATGTTTATCACCTCCTGCCATCATCTTCCAGAGACTTTCATCTCCCGTGTATTCTTATACTTGTTCTTGTATGATGATGCAAACAGTCAACCTTCACATGTCTCCCATATACACCAAGTGGATTCCGGGTAGGTAGCGGCGTGGTAGAGTGCATGCCATCGTAGCCCCTGGAGATGGGGTGGTTCCCACATCGATCACTGGATTGTCTCACCCAGACTCGTGTATTGACAGGCCGGTGTCGGTGAGATGTGTTTGGCGTTACACTCCAACCAAACAAGCACTGTCAGGCAACAGAGGTTATCACAATACGCGGTGTACTGGCTCCACTGGCCACATCGCCATCGCTGGACATCTCTGAAGTCTCATAAAACGTCTGTAACTGCAGACTCCGGGCGTCTAGCAGACAACCTAACACCGATGGAGTACCGCTCCATCTCACGGGCCATTGCTAGAGCCACTCACCTCTTTGATGTTTCATTTTCTGCAACGGTTGAACTCAGAGGTATTAGGTCTGTCATTGTTATCAGCGTTCAAAACAATCTTCTTTACAGTTCAGAAGCATCAATTGCCCTATTCAGCGTCGTGTTACCGACAGTAAAGGGGATGTTGACAGGACCGTGGAAGGTAGCATGTTATCAATGCTGTATGAAAACTGAGAAACGATACTTGTGCAGGTACCGTATAAACCGATAATTTAGACTGTGTCTGCTACATATACCTTTGGGAAATCAAGAAAGGACATACAATACTATACAGGGCTTTGTGAGCATGGTGTGGTGAAACAATGCTCATACTGTGTCTTCCCCCCAACTACGCAGTAACCTGGAGGAAATCTCGACGTCGCCGACCTAGGTGTGACCAAGAAGTAATTAACCTGTTAGTAACCAGGCAGTAACCCAGCAGTGATCGGGCTGTAACCAGGCAGTAACTAGGCATTAACAGTGAAGCTACGCACACAGTCCTGATACGTAAAGAGGGGCTCTGCTCCAATGCCTGGTACCCATCTTCAGTCTGAATGTGAATGAGTGCTTAAAGCAGAGCTGGGAAATTGTCTCTGTCTCTGGGTAACATTGTCAAATATTATACAATTGACAGCCAAGTGAAGCCTGAACGGCTTGAATTAAACTTGCTAGGGCTGCCAGTTGTCAGTGTCTTGTTCCCCTTAAGACCTCACGATCCGTCATTGAGCGTTGTCGATAACAACCTGTTAAAACCTCAAATACCGTCTACACGTGAGGAATATATATGGTTCTCCACAGCTTAAACAAGTAAAAGTAATAGATTAATTGATTAATCGAGTTTATAATGAAGGAAGCTATTGAAAGGCAGCCAAAGACTGGAAGACGTAAAACAACACGTGACCTCAATACGTCACAACGGACATCCCTTTCTGTAAACGACGCCAGCGTCATCACAACCACAACGTATACAACCTCATGACGCTAAATATAGCAAGACAATGCACGCCTCGTCTGGGAATTAATAAACGTAAGTAATTATCGCTCAGTGACTACAATAAAGTAATTATCGCTCAGTGACTACAATAAAGTAATTATCGCTCAGTGACGACATTAAAGCGCAACGATGTCTCCCTTGCTTCATGCTACTTCACCATACTATTTACAGGGACTCAAGGAGTCCACGAATCAAGACAGTCATTAAGACACAGTAGTGTTATGATGATAGTACGACAGTCAAACGTTATAAAAACCGTTCACATTGTTCACAAGCATCCTCGCAATGGCAGCCATGAGCTACATTACACACAGCGGAACAGATGGGTGTGGTTGTGTCCTTGACAGCATCTTGTGTTCCTTGTACCTTCCCGACCAAGCCCCATGAACTTCCCTTCCTAACACCTTCATCTTCAATGGTTGACAGTGTACTCCTACAACATGTAGCCAGTTCACATGGGGCCCAGTAGAACATGCCACACTGCACGGATTCGGGTATTATATACACGGTTCGAATTCCTTGTTCACTGTCAACTGGGGCGTTATGCCGGGGTCTCTGCTATCAGCCCTTAGCCATGCAACTTTTGGCTTGATCGTGGAAGCACAGAATACTCCGTTGTCTCCTGATCGCCGTGTGAGGCAAAAATACTGCTTCGTAAAATCTCAGTTTAAATCCAACACTCACAGATTTCCGACACTTGTCAAATAAGGCTACGGGAGTACCAACAGGTTTTTGTCTGTCACAGATAACTGATCCCGTATCACTTTGTGTTTGATTGGGACGCTGGAAAACACCCGTGGAAATATAAGACCACTCGTACAACTCAAAACTAATCACATGGCGTGGTTCGGGTTCACGGAAACAGGCGAAGTCTAGTCCCGTGGTCACGGTCTGTCGACGTCGCTACGTTACAACTCCCCTACGTCGCAACGTGACAACTCGCCTGCGTCGCCATCGGAATCACAGGCAGTATACACACCAGTAGACAACATTGAAGATTAAAAACATTATCGGGAACATTACTCTCGAGATCTTGTCCGCCATTCGTGCACGTTGACGCTTTAACCTGTCTTGTAAGTACACGATCCGCCTGTTTGAGCTGAAGGATATCTGGAAAGAGAATATGCAGTGTTATAGACGTCATCTACGACGTTATAAACGTCATTTACAGCTACATTTAGATATTAAGCGTTATTTACAGTGTTAAACGTCATTATAATAAAAACGCCATTAACAGTTATAAACGCCATTTACAGTGTTATATAAGTGTTATAAACCTTATTCACAGTGTTGTGCGGTTATAAACCTCATTCAGTGTTAAAAGTGCTATAAATGCGATTTACATTGTTATTAGTGTCTATTACGTCATTTACATCTACATTTAGATTTTAAACGTCATATTCTATGTTAAACGTCATTTTCAATTAAAACCGCCGTTTACAGTGTTCTTAGTAAATATTGTCGACGTTATTTACAGCTGAAAAATGTCATTTACAGCCTAATCTGCATCGCTTACTGTTACAAACGTCATTTGCATTGATCATAGCATCATTTGCATGTATAACGATCATTTGAAGAGGAACACTTTCTTATGGATAGACAACTTACTTATTGCAACAGATGCGACGTTACGGTGTAGACCCTAACACTGTTATCACGCAAATGACCATTTCATAGCCTAAAAAAGTGTTCTTCATCATCATATCAGCTGTTAAATGCCATTGAAATAAGTAATCATCATTTGCAATTATTAACGTCATTTACAGTTATAACCGTCATTTATACCCTCTTTCGATTTAATGCAAAATGTGATGATGGTGATGATGATGATTGATGATGATGATGATGATGATGATGATGATGATGATGATTGTGATGATGGTGATTTGGAGAATTAATTGCGCTTTCCGACATAATGAGAATTTCACACGCGGGTAATGAAAGAGATTTTTATGCTCTGTTATAACATAGAGTTTTTTTACGACTGCTCAAACTTCACATCGAATTACTCGTGAATGGAAGTTACTTTGTTAGGTTGATAATTCTTTCAATATAGCAATTTGAAGCTGCTTTCATGTTTTTACTGTAGGATACAAAAGCGTTGGAAACAATTGTAACAGGCCAAATGAGGGGGCACGTCATGTTGTGGTGTAATTAATGTTGCGGAAACCTCGAGCAAAAATAATATCACTTTCTCACATTGACAAACAGCAATATCCGTTTGATCTTCAGTGACTATAGTTGTTCAGAGCAAATCCATTGTTCTCGTTTAGAAACCGCAATACAATGTGACAGCATTGTGACAGGAACGCCAAAGGACAGTTATACAATCAGCTGATAGCATTAACTGTAGAAACAAGGACACCCGATACACACATTTTCTGTGTTCTTCCCCAGAGCAGTGGCCACGTGACCTTCGTCAAGGTCGAACAATGAAACACTGTATTGACAACACGAAATACTTAAAGGTCCTGGATTTAATTAATTTTCCAAAAGAGCTTTCTGCTACAAACATGCGCATGTCCTTTTAGGTACAGGGGAAGTTGATGAGTAAAGAATGTTTTCAAATAGTTGTAGTACCAACCACACCGTCGAGACCAAATATAAATGTTAACTTGAAAATAATAGCATCAACACATGTTTACTCCCCATTTTGAATCATTAGGTATTGTACTATCTAACCAACAGAATTGTAGGTTTGAGTACAGCTCCTGGCACATACAGGAGCCACACAGGCGAGTGCCGTATTATTAAGTTTCTGCATTAGAGAGGTAATGTCCAGTAGTTGATCCCCGGAAGGCCGCGTGTTCGTATTAACAGGGTTTATTAGTACGTGATGGCACAATGTGGGTAAGAGAATCTGCATTGTGAGGTCAGTTCTCTGAAACAAACATACGAGTTGTAGTTTTCAGGATCTGGAGAAACTGTGACTGGGCACAGTCTATCGATCAGACCCTTACAGAAGCATAGAAGCATTCATTATAAAGGTTCCAATATTACATTGTACTACAGACATTCAGCCTATGAGGCAGTAAGCACGAATTTTCGAACACGAAAGTTAGTCAGTTTTCTATACCTCCTGAAGCCGCTACTGTTGTATAGGTATACAATCCAAACTAATGTTAAAGCCTGATATGGCATGTCAGTGAAGTAAATCTCGTTTTCATGATCATCTGTCTGAATGTTAGGGCCGATCATTTCAGACTACTGTGTCCGTTCCTAATCTCTTCGACAAAAGACATTCGTGTAGCCACTCGGTACTTGTTATATAGTGATCGGTTTAACTGCATGTGTATCAATATGTTTATATGATATCTGCTTTGGTGGGGTGTTGTGTGCTTATATTTTTAAGGTTAACTTTTTTCAGAAACGTTCAGAAGATGAAAGGATCGGACCAGAACACTACAGACACGAGAGCTAAACGGGACTCGATCAGTGCAATACCAAGTCACATTTCTGCATTCCAAATTACACCACTACAAAACAACGCCACACAACGACCGTTACGGCCAATGCACCAACACGACACACAACGTGCTCATCTACAGTCAGGTTTAACGTTACAACTACAGCAACAGAAAACATCAACAGGACAACCACCACCTCATTCCAGAACGGGAACACATCGGACTGAATGCCGTCTACATTCCATCGCGTGCATCTGCCAGAGTGACAATGACGTTAAGATTCCACCAATTACCACCAATTGCACTGATCTGGAAAAGGTGCTTCTTTCATAATCTTATGGCTTTTTCTATCAACAATCTGTTTTAAAGTGGTGATTTGGCCCCAATGTTACATAACACTAGACCTAATTCATCACCCTTGTACCTTGGAACATGATGTTCCGGACATTTACCTAACACAACACACGTGCTTCACGACATCCCGCGTAGCAGGATATGAGACAGGTATTTGTGTTATGTTAACACAAGCTGACAGTCCGGAATGTGATGTGTCATCAGCCAAAAGCAGCATATCTTTGGTGCACCACACTGTACTTCCGTCTTAACCTTCAGTACGCGAGACCCACGTTTAGGGTTGGCTCCCTTAGATGCCCGGATCAGGCCGAAGTTTGAATTCCATAGACTTGGGTTTCACCAACGTTGTAAACATCACTTTGGGCTTTCTTCCCAAATGAAGCTGACACGTTTATTGTACCAAACACTGCTCAAAGCGGCGTTAAATACCACTATATAGATATTATTGGATGCTCCGAGGGCATGAGTGTTTGTAGTTCCAGTCATATTATTTCGGTTGTTGGTTTCACTCTGAGCGACAATGTAACGGTATGTTTGATATGTACATAACGTAAACAATAGACGATGTTTCCCTCAGAATCTATGCTGGAGTCTACCATGATTGAGTATTGACACATCCATCCCTTTTGAACCTAAACTGGAAACTCTTTATCAACTTGTTTTGACACATTGTTTTCTGTTGTATTGACAACACCATGTAAACATCTGATATTCTAAGATGACATAAATGCCAAAAAGCAGATTATTTCTACACATGTTTTGGAAAGTAAGCATAAGTAATAAACAGAGTCATTTACAAACTCTTGTATCCATGGCGACAGTAGGAGAACGAGTCAGACCTGATTCCACTTGGAATGCTAATTCAACAGTATGTTCGTAAGAGGTATAATATGACCTATTACCGTTATATGGAAGGACACACAACTTGCTGACGGTATTGGACTTTTTCACTTGAATAACGGAGTTATAAGGAATATTGACGCTGCTTTGTACGGTATACCATTAAAACCACGGCGTGTCAACCTGGTGTGTAAGTAAAACCCAAAGTGATGGAGGATCAAAACGTTTACCATTTTGATGAAGTCCAAAAGCACGGAAATGGTGCGGACAAACCTAATAACATGATCGGGGCAAACCGGGATTAAAACTCACCATCATAGGATTCTGGCGCACCCAAGGGAGGTAATTACGTCGCCACCCGTGCCTCGTTTACCACTTAAATTCGTGGGCACGGGCATGTTGCTGAGGATCAAAGAACCCTATCTGGATTCGAACATCAACCATCGGATCCTGACGCAGCTAAGGCACGTAACTCGCTGTTCAACCTGAGACTAAGAGTCACCGATGTCTCCATCCCATGATGAGAAAGGTCCGGATGTGCGAATAGTGTTATTATCAAAGTGTGTTAACATTATAGCATCACGGGTCATGCATTTTATTTCCGGGTTCAGTATAATTCAGTCTCTAAGTCACACGGGTTATCATTCTGAATTCGGGATGCTATTCGTGCAATTGATCAACATATCTGATGAAACATGTAACTAGTAACACAATACAGTGGGTGTCTGCACAGTGGGTGCGGTACGCACACATACACAAGACGGAAGACTGGTGCGTCTTTCTGGCGGAAGGACGAGGACAATATGTAAAGCAGTGTACCTTGTTTTTGCAGCTTCGTAGCTGCAATAAAACGAAATATATACCTTACCAAACTCCTCGGTAGGGAACTTTAAAGTGAAGAAATTAAATTATGAACTTTGAAATGTCATGCCGCATTGCACAACAATCAGACACAGCTGCGTCAAACTGACGCAAATTTGAAAATATATAACGCTATGGTACGAAAGCCTTTGTGCAACATTATGCATTTAAATCGAACTTTTGCGTATTTTTCTCTATATTTCAATAATTTACATTTTCTCGAAATTTCAATTATTTTATCATTATTTAAGTGATTCCATAGTTATTTCAAGAAACGATTGGAAATTTGATATACCGAGAAAAAATCCGACATTGCGAGAAAAGAATGAAAACTTCGGTATATATTTTTGAATATTTAGAATAACAGTGAAAAATCTGAATAATGAGAACATAGGACAAAAAACTTGAAACTTCGGTATATTAGTTTTTAAATATTCGAAATAACACGAAAAAGCAGGAAATTTTGAAACAATTGAAATTATAAGAATTCATTTGTACATTTCAATCTTTTTTTCAAATGTTCTAACTAATGGGAAAATACTCGAAAGCATACTGCCAAAAATATACCTTGCACTATAAGGCTGTCGTACAATGGCATTAAGACATATATTCCCACTGAAAACAGAAACAGTCGATACCTGTTGATGGGAGGAATGGCATGGCTGCAAGGGTTTCATCACTTCCCTGAGATATCTCCAGATTATGATACGTATTTGTAGCCTCAATTCATTTGGATAATATACTTTATAATTACACTATTTACGTACCGTCGTTATCATACTGGAATGTATAATTTTGCCCCGCTCACCCACTTCCACGAAAACATTATAAATAGAAAAAACACACGCATGAAACAACAAATCAGATACGAGTAAAAAAGTCTGTATATACACTGATGTCAAAGGTGAAGCGTAACGAGACAGGGTCAGAGGTCGTGCAGATGCGCAGAGTTCATGTACACTATTGCATTCAGAACCGACTCCACACATTCCGAAACATGCCGATAGATTTCGGAAAGATGCGAGAATTGACGAATGTCATAATATAGTAGCATCAAAGAAAATACAATGTAGACGACAGACTACACGTCTGGTCAACGGCATGCCCCAAATCTATAGACAACATGACGTCTAATTTAGGAACTACGGTAGTTTAGTATGTTAAACAGGTGCGTTACGAGTAACGGGGAGCTACGTTTGCTTCGTCGAAGGCGTCGAGGGTTTTTCTTGAGCACGTTTCAAAGTTGACGTAGAATGGAACAGTCCATTTTTAGTCTCACTGAACGTAAAGCCGGCTTTTGTCAGCCAAATGTTAAGATCGCAGGCGGTAAAATGTTGTTCGTACTTACCTCTTTATTTTTGAATTTCGGATCTTCTTTGACGTTGCCGTTACTCTCGTTCCCCTCCATCACCGACATACGACGCCGTCGCTCCACCCGGTTTTGAACGTTGACGTAGGCGAACTCCAGCAGCGCAGCAAACACGAAGCCGAGACACATGGCCATCCAGACGTCGATGGCCTTTACGTAGGATACCCGGGGCAGGGAGTTGCGGGCGCCAGTGCTTTGTGTCGTCATGGTCAACACCGTCAGTAGGCCCAGGGACACACGCGCGGGGATAGCGTCGATGTCGATCCAGAACGACACCCACGACAACATGACGATGAGGACTGACGGCAGGTACACCTGTGCTATGTAATACCCAAACAGCCGCGTCAGATGGAATTCCGCCGTGATGCACGAGAAGTTACCTGCATGGAGACAATACGACTTTTGTGAAAGACGGTCACATGTCTAGCCGATCTGATTGTGTTTGTTTACTACGCCCGTAGTAATGTAGTATCAGACACTTATCCCTTTGGTAAAACTCACGGGTCTCGTACTGACAATCTTACAAACATATTCATGGAAATTCGGTTTCGAACCCACGATCATGGTTTGATCAAAACAAAAGGAGGCGACTCTGGCGAACCAACTACGACTCTTTGAACTCCCGTACTTTAAGCATGAGCTGGATGTGACTTACCACTAATCATGCTGGATGTGACTTACCACTAATCATGCTGGATGTGACTTACCACTAATCATGCTGGATGTGACTTACCACTAATCATGCTGGTTGTGACTTACCACTAATCATGCTGGATGTGACTTACCACTAATCATGCTGGATGTGACTTACCACTAATCATGCTGGATGTGACTTACCACTAATCATGCTGGATGTGACTTACCACTAATCATGCTGGATGTGACTTACCACTAATCATGCTGGTTGTGACTTACCACTAATCATGCTGGATGTGACTTACCACTAATCATGCTGGATGTGACTTACCACTAATCATGCTGGATGTGACTTACCACTAATCATGCTGGATGTGACTTACCACTAATCATGCTGGTTGTGACTTACCACTTATCATGCTGGATGTGACTTACCACTAATCATGCTGGATGTGACTTACCACTAATCATGCTGGATGTGACTTACCACTAATCATGCTGGATGTGACTTACCACTAATCAGGTTGGATGTGACTTACCACTAATCATGCTGGATGTGACTTACCACTAATCATGCTGGATGTGACTTACCACTAATCATGCTGGATGTGACTAACCACTAATCATGCTGGTTGTGACTTACCACTAATCATTCTGTATGTGACTTACCACTAATCATGCTGGATGTGACTTACCACTAATCATGCTCGATGTGACTTACCACTAATCATGCTGGATGTGACTTACCACTAATCATGCTGAATGCACTTACCACTAATCATGCTGGATGTGACTTACCACTAATCATGCTGGTTGTGACTTACCACTAATCATGCTGGATGTGACTTACCACTAACCATGCTGGATGTGACTTACCACTAATCATGCTGTATGTGACTTACCACTAATCATGATGTGACTTACCACTAATCATGCTGGATGTGACTTACCACTAATCATGCTGGATGTGACTTACCACTAATCATGCTGTATGTGACTTACCACTAATCATGCTGGATGTGACTTACCACTAATCATGCTGAATGTGACTTACCACTAATCATGCTGGATGTGACTTACCACTAATCATGCTGGTTGTGACTTACCACTAATCATGCTGGTTGTGACTTACCACTAATCATGCTGGATGTGACTTACCACTAATCATGCTGGATGTGACTTACCACTAATCATGCTGGATGCACTTACCACTAATCATGCTGGATGTGACTTACCACTAATCATGCTGGATGTGACTTACCACTAATCATGCTGGTTGCCACAGTCTTGAACTCGCATTCGCCAGCTTTTTTTCTGTACTCGACCTCAAACCTGGGCAGCGTCATCCCCTCCCGCATGATCACCGGCGTGGAGTGCCACTTGAACACCACGTTGTCGGCCGTGTAGCTGTCTGCAACACCACACACGTTATCTCTAGGTAAACGGTTGCGTGAAGACTTTCTTAAGTATATGTTCAATGACAACCTAATGCTATTCTTAACTCATTCGAGACATCTTTGAGCAAGAACTGCTCAAAAACACTTGTGACTAGTGACCAACCCAGCCATCGCGGCTTCATAGCTTTCAGTTTTCGGGAGCCGTGCCAGTTTACTCTCATCAGAGGAGTATGCAAAGTCCGTGGTCTGGACTACCAGTTGTCCGACATCCATTTTTTGTTGAAGTCGCGGTGGCTGAGTTGGATAGGAGGCTGACTTTGTGTGCTGGCGATGAGGTGCCTGACTCTGAAGATGTGGGTTCCAATCCCGGAACAAAAACTACTAGAATCTGTACTTTACTGAGAAAGTGTAATCCCAAATATAACATTTGATACATTTGACCTTACATTTTAACATTTTTAAATTTACGTTTTGATGACATATGTATTCTTTCTGTCGTCCAATTTCTAGCATAAGTGTACGCTTTCTTGCCCGGCATTTATTATTGTGTATGCAGCATTCCAAACTCTGCCTCGGAAATATTGTAAGATAGGTGTTTTCAAGCAATATACATGGACGTTAAAGAATTGAAACACACTGACAGATGACCAAAGTGGTACGTCAAACCCTGGTATTGGTGGTTTGCATGGCAACTACAGGCAGGGACTGAAAACCCACCATTATCCTCGACACAACCCAGCCTGCCTCTAATACCTCCCTGACTGACATGTGTACTCCCCAACACTCGCACAGTAACAGAGTAATGGCCAGGATGATTGGGGACGTCTGGATGTGAAGAGTGTACTTACTGCCACAGTATACTTACAGTGAGTGAGTTTAGTTTTACGCCGCACTCAGCAATATTCTAGCTATATGACGGCGGTCTGTAAATAATCGAGTCTGGACAAGACAATCCAGTGATCAACAGCATCAATCTACGCAACTGGGATACAATGACATGTGTCAACCAAGTCAGTCGCCTCTTACAAGCATGGGTTACTGAAGATCAGTTCTAACCCGGGTCTTCTCGAATCAGTGTACTTACAACTGCTGATGTTGACGGAACACTCCTGCTCGTCGTGTGGGTATTTGTGGAGATACATATCACAGCTCAGGGTCATGGAGATCCTGAAACAAGCACCACGGTGGCGTTACAGTAAACTACGGCTATAACGAACTCAGCGGGACACTACATTTAGTTCGTTATAACGGTAGTTCGTTATACGCATTTCGACTAAAACATACAGCAAGTGGTAGTGAGTCAGAAAACCCAGTTCGATATATCCGTCAGTTCGTTATAACGGTAGTTCGTTATACGCATTTCGACTAAAACATACAGCAAGTGGTAGTGAGTCAGAAAACCCAGTTCGATATATCCGTCAGTTCGTTATAACGGTAGTTCGTTATACGCATTTCGACTAAAACATACAGCAAGTGGTAATGAGTCAGGAAACCCAGTTCGATATATCCGTCAGTTCGTTATAAGCGTGTTCATTATAAAGATAGTTTACTGTGTCATCCTTGAAATGGAAATACAGCACCGCCGGGTGGGTTTTAGCTGGGTTTCAGCTCAATTTTAGTTGGGTTGCGGTTGGGTGTTAGTAGCGGTGAGGCTGGGTTTAGCTTTAGCTGGGTTGAAGCTGGGTAAACTAAAGCGCCATAAAGAGCCGTAATCGCGGTTTCCAATTCTTGGTTCGACTGAGTAATGATCATTGTTTTGTCTGCACAAAATGACAGACGACGTATCGCGCGTCTCGCGGCGGCGCACCCAAACTGGTCTGCAAAACAGCTTGCTGTGAAGGCGTCAAGTCAAGGAAACCCTAAGTATCAGAATGGACAATCAGAAGATCTTTAAAGCAAACTGGATATGTCAAGCGAGTGCCGAAGAAAGTTCCATTGATGACAACAGCACATATGGAGAAAAGGCTCGAGTGGTGCAGGGAAATGCAGGATACAGACTTTTCAAATGTGATTTTTTACGGAAGAATCAAAGTTTCAGTTTTATAGGATCACAAGAAAGAGGTGGTCAAGAGGTGGACGTAGCTGCAAAATGGTTCCGAAGTTCTCACCCAGTGTCATGGTTTGGGGTGGTATAGGCAAACTCGGGGTAACGCCGCTGCTAACTATTACAGGAAGGATGGATTCACGCAAGTACTGTCAACTTATACAAGAAGGCATAGTGGAATCCCATATAGGACAGAGTGGAATACCTTTCAAACTTTTACAGGACAATGCACCTGTACACAAGTCAAGACACACCTGTAACTGGTTTGAAACGAGTCACGTGACCTTACAGAAATTTCCAACGGCATCACCAGACCTGAACCCAATTGAAAATGTGTGGCAGATTATGAAGGTCAAATTAGAAAAGTTGGAACCGAAGAGTGTCGTTGAGTGGTCTAATCTCAGTCAAATATGGGTGGGCCTACCCCAGGACTACAGAGACAAATTGATTGACATCATGGGACGCCGTATTAAGCAGTGCATCGAGAGAAACGGTGGACTAACAGACTATTGACTTGCATAAATGTAAACTTCAGTATCCAGAGTGGATGTATGAAAAATATAACTGAATTTATTAGTAAATAAATTTTGAAACTACGTCTGTGAAAAGTCGCATTTTTTCTGCTCGTTACTGTATATACTTCATGGCCATACTGGGTGGTTATACGTCAGTGGCCATAGGAGTTCGCTCGTCACGCCGGTGGGGTATCCACGGGTGGTTAAGGAGTTCGCCGAAGGCCGTGATATTGGAATATTGCTACAAGCGGCGAAACCACCCACTCACATGGTACACTACATTCATATGGTCATAAGCCCATTTCTGATGTCCCCACGCATAGATGAGTATTGCTGAATATTGTCAGTATAACGCGGTCGTAGTTCATGGTCATACTCACTCGGACCTCTTGGCCACACTACATTTATATGGTCATGAGCATGCAGGTGGATGGGATGGACTGTCATATCAATTATACGTCATAGATGTAGATCATATTTTGATAACATAGATCAGATCATACCACGTGGTCATACATAACGTGGTCATAGTTCATAACATCATACTACATGGTCGGACCTCGTGGTCATATATATACTAACATGGTAACATAACATAACATTACATAACACATTACGTGAGCATGCATGTAGATAAGGATGGACTGTAGCACTATATTACTATCCATAATATAATATAATATAATATAATATACTGACTGTAATAAATAATATAATATAATGTAATATAATATAATATAATAATATAATATAATATAATATAATATAATATAATATAATATAATATAATATAATATAATATAATATAATATAATCATACTAGGTGGTCATACTTCATGGTCAATCTACGTAGTCATACTTTGTCGTCATACTTTATGGTCACTTAACGTAGTCATACTCCGAAAACAAAAAACATTCTAGTAAACGGACATAATGCGTGCTATAATGCGGCAGTGGACTGGGTAACATTTCCGACATGACATGAAACTGTCAAACTGACAACAACATATACTGTAGAAGTGAGCACTACCGGAATAGCACATAGCCAACGCTATAACAATACAAGACTACCAGACAATGAAGACCTGAAGACTATGAAGTCTGTACAAGCACGAAGCCCGACCAATGCCGTTTTAGACAAGCTCCAGGGATAAAGCTGTGCACAAAATACATTATTCTCTCTCAGTTCTATCACTCATGACAGATATATGTTCCCGGGAACATGAGTGTCAACACCCGGAAGTGCATCATATGTTCCAGAAGCTGATTTATGCATCCTCAGCCGGGAACACATCAACTAGCAGGCGGGCAGTTCACACATTAACACAATAGAAACTTGAAATATCTGCCCGCTAATCCGAAATGACAATATACTGCAAACAACCCATTTGTCATGAAGGTAACGGGATTAGTTTCTTGCATTTCACATTGTAGTCTCTGAAGCGATATCGAGTAATGCGTTATCACGTCTCTTATGACCGAGTGTTGTGTCGGGAATAAATATATTATGGTGAATGGTGACATGATAGACAGCAAATATGAATCTAATCTTTATCTTTCAAGACGGAACACACACGCCAGATGATAAATAGGTATATTCATTATACATGTATACAGATACCATCACGGCAAATATATATGACTGACAGTTTTAGAGGTTAAAGCGCTAGCTCGTCGGGTCGAGTGCATAAGTTCGACTCTCTGATTGAGAAATTGTAAGGCCCAATTCTGGCAACACGTTAAATAACAGTAAAACAGCGCAAACCCATTCTCAGTATCTCATTCACTACTTGTCGATCTGTCGGATACGATCAATAATGCCAGAATCTGTTCTTATGTATGTCATCATAACGTCAGCGATATCATTCTTCATGATCTGGTGTTTGATAACTGCATCCATTCTCATAATCATGGCATGAACAGCTGTCGCTGGCCTTTCCACAGATTTTCTACAGATATTACCAAACATTTTAGAGACTTTCTACAAACATTTTGAAGTACATACGTTATTCCCAATCAGCATATGACTAATTCTTACAACAGATTATAATTTCCCAGTCCTATAATTCAGACATTTCTAATTGATTTCCATTTGTGTTTGCAAACTGTACATTTATTTTGTAAACAGTTGAAGAGTCTGAGACAATAAGAGTAGGATCACACCAGCTCCCACGTTTCACAGAGTTTATATCAGACACACGCTCGTGTCATTCTCTCTATCCGTTGTTCAATGTACGTGACATTTAATCCGAAAATGGAAAACTCTGTCATCAAAGACTGCCTTCCACAAGAGAAATTGCTTGGTTGAGATAAACTGAAAATAGAGTGACTTATACAGTAAGCTCTCCGGTGTTTTCAGGTGAACAATTTCCTTGCCTTTGCATGTATTTGTGACGTGTGACAAAGGTACCGAAAGATTCCCTCACTTTTTCTCAAATACTTGGCATCATACTATTTGGTAGTAATTCGTGAAGAAATGTTCGTGATACAGTGGGAAATAGTTCGCGAAACAGGTAATCCTGCCCTGTGGAGAAAGGGTTCGCGAAACGTGAGCTTATCCAGCATTACCACTGGCACCTATCACAAACACATGCATGGGCAAGTCAATCCTGCATGAGGTACAAGTCAGCTAGACGACCAACAACACATCCTACCTGATACTTGACTGCACAGTTCCGTTGGGATACAAATGTAGCAGTTTGTTGGACACTGTGACGTCATGCATGATGGCCTGCTTCTCGTTGACGAAGTACAGGTCGGGCGTCCACACTCTCTCCATCAGCTTGGTGTCCACTTCTATCCGCGACAGGTTTGCGTTGTCCGACCACATCAGTCTGTGGTCGTTCCACTTCTGGCGTAAGTAAATGCTCATGGAATACTCCTGGAATTCAAAACAGGGTTTAGACCAGTGAAGCCGGGTTGCATTTGGGGCAGACTCTCCCCAAGGAGTAGATAATTCAATCCTTCGTTGACTGGCTGTTAATCCCCGTTTTGTGCAAGTAGATCTAGTTAAATTTGCATGATATATTATGAGTGTTTTGATGATTATGATTAATATGTTTATTACTGGTGCGAATTGATAGTTGATGTGTTCAGAGTGATGTGGTAGTAGAGTCATCTGTTGGCGTTATAATGAGGTGAGTTTTTCAATTTATTGTCAATTAACCCCTTAACAATATGTAGGCAATGTACTCAGATCTGTACAGTACAAACCGTCACAGCACAGCGTTTAGTTTTCAGGGAATGGTGCAGGTCGGACATGTCAAGTTACCGTTGCCACCCACAAGCAAGGATGTCGACCACAGCAGATGAAAATCGCCACGAATCTTGGATTCGAACCCCACAACCTCCGCATGCTGGAATTGTATTTGAGTTCACTAACGGTGTCCGACTTATTCTTACTACAGAGTCGCTACGTCAGTAGGACACAGTCCTTGTCATAGTCGCCTTAGACGCGTCAGAGTTTCATCCCTGTCGTGTCATGATGTGGACACCAACTTCACCCCTTCTAAAAGGGGTGAAAATATACATACAACATACTACCTTTTGAACACTATTTTAAGATACAGGGAGACAGCTGGTTTCGAACTGCCTTTGGGGTACACAAACCTGTACAAGCCGCCAGTACATGCTGTATAGTGGAGCCACCACTCAAAGCCTTCAGCAACACAAACACTCGGTAATTGTGTAGGACAACGTTAATGAAGAAACAGGCTGAACACTTGCTACCAGAATAATCGATGGAAATGATGTAAGTGTTGGCAGTAAAGTTTATATTTTCTATTTGTTGATAAACGCCGCAGGACTATTGACGGTCTTATGACGATGGACGGTATGACGATCGAGTCCGGACCAGACAACCAATCAGGGGACTGACTTAATGAGCATCGATCTATGTATCGATAACATGCATCCAAGTCACTGAACGTTACCACCGGATCCCGTTAGTCGCCTCTTCCGACAAGCATGGATTGCTGATAGCCAGTTACATCCTGGGTCATCACGGAGCGTTATCAGTAATCACTGTTTGTTGTACATAAACATATACCGGGGGCATTTTGCTGATGTATTTCTTTGTTGCTTGACGTCGTTTTTGATGGTATTCGACGTACAGTAAGCTACGTTTACAATGAATTCAAGGGACCACTAGTTTTAGTAGGTAACCATAGTTCTTCATATGCATTTCGACCAAACTTTACAGCAAGTGGTATAAAACAGTTCGTTATATCCATCTGTTCCTTACACGCGTATTCGTTACAAACGTAGTTTACTCAGTTTCAGACAATACAGTGATAGCTGCTATGATGAGTGAGTGAGTGACCTTTTAGTTTTACACCGCTTTTAGCAATATTCCAGGAACATCATGGCAGGGGACACCAGACATGGGCGTCACACATTGTGGGGAATCGAACCCGAGTCTTCGGCGTGACGAGCGAACGCTATAACTACAAGACTACCCCACTGCCCCTACTATGATGAACTCTAAGGATACCATAAGCCGTGATCAGCAAGGTCCCTTGGTCTGACCACCCGATCCGTTAAGTCCACTGTTACGACCCAGATAGGTTGTTGGGGACCAATTCCAATCCGTACTCCGCCTGGAATGTCGTAATATAAAGTTACTTACGTTCTAATGAGAGGAAAGACTATCTCAGTCAGTGTCATGGGAGAAGTTTACCAGGATTTAGTTCTGTAGGTCAACAACCATATACAACACGTCCTAACACACGGTGTCCTGCCTGATGTGTGTCTCCCCAAGGGATACAGATCACAGAATCTTTAGACATATCATATCTGATTTAATGATAGATTTTACCATCAATAAACGATACTATCACACTGATATGATATTGCTCTGTTGTATGTGTTCGGTGAACCAATGTGTCTGCGTCCTTTGAGGGGAGATGAATGTTCTGCATCTTCTAGATAAATAATTGATGACCCTATTGATCGCACTACCTGTGGATGAAAGGGACTTTGCATTGTGATACGGATATCCACAGGTAGATACATACATTCAGGTCTGGGAGATGAAACAGTAATACTTCGTGTGGGCTTCCTAAAGATAATCGGTTGACAGTAACCTAACAGGTCAATGTGGATCGGATGGCCAGGATGGTAGACTTACTTGACTGCGTGACAGCGTCGCAAGACGATGCAGACCGGTGCTCATATCAACAACCGGCATTTCTGGTCAAGACACCATATTGGTAATTTTATTGTTAATACACTGGGAATTTTACTGACTATGCATTTAACAGCTAATACTCACTCACTTAGTACAACATCTTCATTGTTTAAATAAACTAGTAGTTTGAAGTCATTGTGCCGAGGCCAGTGTAGAAGATGGGCCCTTTTGAATACAATGTATCAGAGGTATAGATTGTAGATGAGGTAGCTGACGTAATTTATTTAAAGTAATGTACGTGTAATACCTAGATGGAATATCGGCAAGATGAATATTTACCATGGAAAGTTAAATGTTCATAAGATCAAATGTTTGCCATGTGTGTGTGTGTGTGTTTTGTGCGTGCGTGTGTGTCTGCGTGTGCACGTGTCAGATCTACGATGCTCTCCTCTGCAAGTTGTTGTTTTTGTTATGGTCAGAGCAAAATATGACGCAAACGGATGTTTATGAGGGTCCCTAACGCTTGACCGTTCAGAACACGTGCAGATCCTTCGCACAAGTTTCTGTCATCGAACTTTTGACAAGTTTATTTTCATTTTCCCATGATACACAAACCGTATTCCTATAATACGAGAATGGCATGTAAGATTATCCTTACCAAATGTGGAGTAGTATAAGCATGTCGATGAACACGTATCGTAGTCGTTGCACCCTTATTTCCAAATTGGGCCATTTAAACAACAGAAGCTTTTTTAGACTTTGATATACTCCAACATACATATTGCATGAAATAAACTTAAATTTATCACTCACAGTTGTTTTTGTTTACGTTTTAAATCATTTTTTTAATAAAGCAGAAAACATGCACGTTAGTTCTAGAAATACCCATATTCATTTTGGGATATGATCGAGCCGTCAGACAAATCTCATGAACATTTTACAAATTTGTATGAATTGATAATGAAACACAGGAACTGTCACACACTGATCAACTGAAACAGGAGGAAACAAAAGAAACGAAACACATCTTTGGGTTCAGTGAAGCTTACAAAAATGTATCATACCATAGTTGATGGAGCAAAGCCGTATTTTGACCTGCGTTTAGCTATCGCCGCAGTGTCCTTGAAATAAACGGAGAATCCAACATGAAGAACAAGCACATGCTGAAAGTAGGGTCGTCATGGCAACATGAGCACTCTTAGCATGACGTTGGAGAAGAAATAGTTCTAATTTATAGACAAATCTCACCTACTAACATTACAAGCCGTTTAAATAACAATAAAGGTTCTTTTGCGCCACTACAATATATATTAAAATTATCGTATTTTAAAACATTCTATAGGAGTTTTACGTACATTAAATAATTAACTGTAATTGTGATGTAAAGTTTGTTCGGATACAGAATCCGTGACTCTCTTAACACGAACCACCTTTGTACGACATATTGAGCAGACAACAGTAGAGAAGATGTGTCCGGCGAGCATCAACAAGAGTTTGCTATAGTAAGTGTTAGACAAATAGAGGTTAGAGAAACAGCTACGTGCATGCATACACATGCAGAAGGACACCGTGCTGCTAGAAGCCAGTAGAAAGACGGGGAGGCAGGCATACCTTATGTATCATTCGAGGACACGGAAGTAGATTACTTTGGCAAGATACTAATCATTAACACTGTCTTCAAAAAACACCTGCGTTGTTGTGGTAATTAATGAATGGATGTCATAAGTTATGCATTATGTAAGTATGGCACAGTCCTCTGGGTTTTATACCTGGGGAACATGTAAATATGTGAAAAGTAGCATGAACTATTTATTTATCTTACATATGAATTTTATATAGTTTTCAGTCCAATTAATTCTAATCGTGACGTGAGATACAGAATAATCTGTGTGTCCAACCCATGACGTAAAGGAAACTGATAACAATATATCGGTGAGTTCACGTGTATATTTAATTTATACATCTTTTTTCACGAATATAATGTAGTCCCGTATTTTGGAAAAGTCGTAGGGACGCCCTGACTCGGCATCGGGCACTCTGCTTGATAAATTCTTTGAATTTCTTACAATAGCATGTTAGCTTTTATTCGAAGGCATGGGGTTCCTGTAACACGTTATATTTGGGATTTCACTTTCTCAGCAGGATTCCTGTAACACGTTATATTTGGGATTTCACTTTCTCAATAGGATTCCTCTCCTTTATTTGGATGTAAAGAATGAAAAGACGAAAATCGGCAAGTTTTATAGGATAAACAGAACAGAACATACCTTCCTCAAAAACAGAGGGATGGTACTATTAAATTAAATATAAGCAAAATATATCTCTGCACAAGAACAATAATTAATCAATCCATCCAATCAGGATAGCTTTAGCACAGTAGGTACAGCGACTAGCTAGGGAGCCTCACCTGTTCCCGCTCACCAGGCAAAATCTGTTTGTGTCAAGTTTAGGATGAGACAGATGAAGTACATTGAATACGTTACTGAATTAATTAATTAAATATATTAAATTATTATAATAATATAATTAAACTACACCGTATTTCGGGAGGTCTATGACAGTAATTTCTTCATTGATACGTCGTTTAAGTACTTGAGAGTTTACTAATTACGGTTTCAGAACAATATCCGGTTAGAACCTAATCGATCGCTCAGGTTTAGCATCTTAGGATCCAATATGAAGGATATATTTCGAACGTCATGTGTATACGTTTAAGAATATTCCAACAAAGGTATTCACATTTCATATTCTACTAAAAATATGATTATCATTAACATGACGCCGATATTTTGTTTCATTTTATGGACGTTATCTGCCAAATAATGTCCAAAATAAAAATAGATAAAAGCTACAAAGCGGGTTCCAGATAGGAGTTACAGTTACGTTTACCACACATGTCAATATACTTACCATTGTTTTATATTTGCTAACTCTACTTTTAGGAGAAGATCGGGCTCGATATGAGCCAACCCATTCTTTCTGGCCTGCCGTAACTGCTTGTTGCGTGCGCTTACACGGCTTCCCATCCCTTCCCTGCGGCAAACAAGATGTTGGGAAGCTGTACTACACAGGGAGGTTCCGCTACAGGTTGTGTCGGGTTCAAAGGGGTTAATCTCTATGCGTTTTTTTATTGATGTTATTAAGCATAGTAAGGCATATGGCAAGCATAGATACACATTAATAGGTTTGCAAGAAAATTAGACAAAAGTTAATTGACACAGTAGTAAGCGTGATGTTACTGAAACATCTACATTGTACACGACAGCGACATCACAACACGTCACGAAACGGCACACACATTTGGATTGTTACTCCTGTGGTACTACACAAAACATCTAAACTAAAAGCCATAATACCCAATTTTTTTATACATGTTCTCCTGTTGCTTTCTATCTGGGTATATTATGAGAAAAGATATTCATATTGTTAAGTTATTGCGTCACAACCATTTTAAAATGGAAACATATTTTCAGCAGACACTGGCGAGTGTTGATGCCAATATTGTATTAAAGAGCCAAGATCAAACGAGTGTTCCCAGCTGTGCTTCCTGGAATATGGTTTCTAAAACGTGTATACAATGCCCCTCCCCTTTCCCCTCTCACTGTTTTTTCAATAAAATATACCTCCCTACTTTTGAGACATATGTACCAGAGAAGCATTGTCTTCAGTGTTTTCTTTATAGTACTAAATATGTATGCATTCCGTATGTTTGTGGTGTCAATTAAACGTCAGGTATTGACCCCTTCATTTTACGAAAGACCCACATTTTCCTCACCGAGTCGATAACGTTGAATATAAAATGCGTGTTTGGTCAGATTAAAGAAGGTGTCTAATTCACTTTATTCTAAGCCTGCCAGTCATTGGTTGTACACGTTAGTCGATCTCAATCATTCTCACAGCAAGCATTTAAAACAGGCCTGATGGTGTTGCGGTTTTTGTCTTGGTTAATGTAACATCAGTAGGACGTGGGAGATAGTTGACAGTTATCTGTATATGACTCACACACTATGGTGAACCCCTCCACAGACATATACTCAGACGAATAAGTACAAAAACACCTATATATAACATGGCCGGATCCAGGAATTTTTGGGGGTTCAGGGGTTTCGAGCTCCCCCCCCCCCCCTATTGGCTCCACCAACGCAAAAAACATTCTTGAATTTGGTCTTAAGTCATTTTCAAAAGGGGATTCGAACCCTCTGACCACACTCCTCCTCTGGATCCGCCAATGTACAACATATAGGGTACTACTTAAGATCAACCGTCAACTCATTCTCCAGAAGACCTATTTTGTGTCATACTTTGTTGGCATGCTGTCTAACGCGGCACTCAGCAACATTCCAGCTTAACCGCCGGCAAACGAACCTATATATCCTTGTCTGAAGGCGGCTAAAACTGGTCACTAGAATTTGGTATCATGTCGGGTATCATAGCCATGTAAGTTACGTTTACTACCTTCAGTTTAGTACCGCTTTGATAAACGTTTGTAATTTTCAAGTTTATAGTTTCCTCTGTATGGCATTCTATACGACTACAAAACTGAGTCTAGACAGGACCAGACAATCCAGTGACTGGCTTCATAAGCATTGATCTACGCATTATGGTATATGATATCGACCAAGTCAGCGAGCAGTGTGTTAGTCGCCTCTTACGACAAGCCGGAGTTGTTGACCCTGATAACTGAATGTTTCTGGTGTATTGTGGATGTACTTTCATGTCACGTGACACATGTACCTTGTACATTATTGACATATACACTAAGACACAGTTTGAGAAGAACGATGACACGGTGTATATAAAACAATACACATTATTTCTTAAGCTTTCCTAAGCTGACGAGCAAAAGAAAGTACACAGGTGTAATTGTTGTTGCAATCCAAAATATACGTTCTAATTTATAAAATTATTGAAAAACATTGATTGTATAGAACGCAACCATCATGTTTCATTTGCCAAAATGCAACCAAAAACATTTGTACGTGTTTTGCACGAATCTTTGCAAAATTGTGATTATTGTCCCATGCACCAGCACTTTTCTGACAGAGAGTATAAAACCTGTTTGTCGTGAAGACTGAACAATCACTTGACAGAAATCTCACGAGGAAATTCCAAGATTGACGTCGGCGCAACGAGAACGGGCCAAATGAATGACACAAATAGGTGCCTTCAACAGCGATATTGCAAGGACATTGGGTTGCACAATACAAACCATAATTCGGCTTTTTAGCCGTTTCAGTACGACAGGCCAGACATGTGATCGACCCAGAAGTGGACGTTCCAGAGTCACAACACCCACAAAGGATCGCTATCTGTGGGTTATTCACCTACGCAACTGGATGTTGAAGTCGACGTCATCAGCAGCCACATCATTGGGTCATCGCGTAAGCCGATTCACAGTGACAAGACGACTTCGTCCTGCTGGCATGTATGGGCCTACCGACCACTGCGTGGAATGGCCTTGACCTTCCAGCATCGTAGGAACCGTCTGCAGTGGTCATCACTACATCGCTGTTTATTGTTACAATGTCATTTTGCTGATAAAACACGTGTATTGCAGTGTGCTTCAACATACATTTTCCATTTCATCAAAAGGTTTTGTTATTTTTATCTTATTGGAAGAAACACAACCTGTGTACTTTCTTTTGCACATCAGTTTATTTAAATATCTCCGCAATGTGTTTTACACTATTGTGATGGACATGTACACCATTAACGCTTTAAGTTAAACAACAACGGAACACTTGAGGATATGGTCAGCAGATGTGATGTGAGAACGTGTCAAGATTTAACGCAAATTAACAACTATGCGAAACAATACTGTAACTAACATCGTGATTTTATCTACAAACTTAATTCAGAATTAAAGTAGAAGATGTCATACGTACATGGTGTTGCTTCTATGGGCTGTGGCTGCTCCTAGCTCTAGTAGCGCAAAGGTGAATAATGTAGCACTATACGTGTCTAAAGGTACAAGCTTCTTGCTATTCAAGGCATTTGGCACTATGTGTAGAGTAGCTCTCATGCGTCTAATACATGCAACTTTGAGTGACAGATATTCTACAATAAACACTAGGTAAGATAACAAGACATGCACTGTTACTGCCTTTAGTTCCAGTAATTCCAAGACTGGGAAACATTGGAACAATACGAGACGCTTACATTGTAGAACCCGAGTACAAAAATCGAAATGCATAATGCACAAAACTCATCACTGATGACTTTGACACCATGATAGCTACTACCTGAACACCCCGCCACCAGGTGTCGTACGCCCTGGGATGAGATACTTTTCATCGCCAAAACAATGGTTTCACTTTTGGCACTGACATCACTTCACCTGACCACACGACAGGAGCTTTGAGATTGAGAGCTGGCATTGTCTCCCAGATGCTCAATATGCTACAATCTCTTACTACCATACAAGATACACATTAAAGTGAATAATGGCGCTAAGTGATCTTCACATCCGTACTACTGTCAAACTGTGGACGAAGGAAGTCTTAACGAACAAGATGCAGAGCCAAACATGCATACATCGATCACGTCAACATGCCCTGTTAAACCGCTGCTATGACAACTCTATCTTGGTTATATCAAGCCAGCAAACATAGGTCTTCATCCATCTTTAATGACATCTAAACACGGGCTTCTTATAACTTACATGCATTAAACAATGACCATTGACCAAACTAAATTCACACTAGTATCTCTTCTATATGACAACTACATGTGAGCAACAAAAAGGAACCAACATATTTATACATACATACACGACGCAAAGGCAGGACCCTTGATTCCACTTAAGATAGATAGAACCAGAGACGCAGTCCAACTGTAAGCAATAAAGACTTGTCTTGTCTGCCTGCTGCCTGAAGCCGCACTTGCCATTCCAACGATCCAGGTTAGACTTTCCAAGTCCGACGTGTGGTCTAATATCCATGACTGCTCTTGTCACTGACAATTTGTAATTGAATAGTTTACCTTATCAAACAATCAGATCTAGTTCTAGAGTCAAGTGTAAAGTGGATAGATACCCTTCTCTTCCAGCGACCCTTTCTGTTTCCATGTTGACAATGAAGTTGGCACACTGTTTCAAAAGTTCACCACATCACCATGACAACACAATCTAGCTACGTCACCAACCTGCACCATCACCATGGCAACATAAGCACAATAAGCACATATATCACACATTTCACTCACCATTGCTGATTCGTCCACGGAATCTATACTGAGCACAAACAGTTGAACCATCACCTTTGTCGGGAAGTCTGTAACAAATGAACTAATGTTGAAGCATCACTTGTGAAATCTGGAATACGTATTAATAAATTCCCAAATCATTCTCTATCTAATCTTAAGTCAGCCTACTCTGATTAAAACGAAAGCCTAATGGCTTGTAGCATAAATGCATTTTTAAACCACAAAGTCTCAATATATTCTAATCTTTCCACATTTACCATATATATTTTATGGTTTGAACTTGATGAATCAACCCATAACCAAGTATATATACTGGTATATATATATACACACTGTATGCAGATACTCAGCATTCACCTGACGAAGGAGCAAAAGGTAGCTCCGAAACGTCGTGACATAGAATATGAGAGGTTGCTTTCCATAAAAGTGTCATGAATCAAAAATGTCTCGACGTTTTAAACATTATTTTGTATTTTTTCGAAATTTCGAGTCTTTCTTATTGTTTCGATTATATTTTTTTGTAATTAGGAATGCCTTCTAGTTATTTCAAACGTCTTTAAATAAACTCGAAATATAAGTTGTTCTCTCGTTGTTCCGATTATTCTAGCGATGTTTCAAACACTTTCTCAAGTTTATTTCAAATACTTGCAAAAACGATTATTTCTCGTTTCTTCGATTGTTTATCTTAAATTTCACGTTTCTTTCCAAGACGTCCAGTTTCAAGAAAAGGATGTAACGAGAAAAACCTTTGACTGAAGTTTGGAGGAAATAATTGCAACATCAAGAAAATAATCACAGAAACGAAAGCAAATCGACATTAGAATTTAAGAAATAAACGTCAAATTACGAGAAAATAATCGAGATTACGAAAATATAATCGAAGTACCAAGAACACTATTAAGAAAAAAAGGTCCCAAAATGTATACGATCAAGTTTATTTCGACTTAAAAAATAGAATGTATACTACCAAAATGGCACCTTTAGACTTTCGCAAGATGTTGCCTTTTTTCTTCTCATTTCAAATCAGCTTTCAAAAAAGCATGTTTTAATCAACAAAACGTTGGTGCTATTGTTGTGATCTGCTTTCCTCGAACGTCTGGATACAAAGGACTCTTGAAAGGAGCTGTTTTATGTTCTGTTTGTGGTTGTCTCGACAAGGTTGGAATACGTGTACATTTCATGGGTTTTGAATATCCAAATACTCACTGTCATTGAAGTTGGGTGCAATTTTTGGATCATAGGTATCATTCAGGATATCCTTGAGTACCGCCTGCCTGAAAAACAATGCAACACAATTTGAAAAAAGAACACACGTGTAACGTCATTAACATTACAGCCATGGCCGCAATAGCCTTGACCTTGCGTGAAATGTCAAATCTGCTGCAACCTTGAAGGTAATGTCATTGCAACCTTGTGGGGAAGCTACGATTGCAACATTGAGGGAAACAAATCAAATCTAGTGTAACACTGTGGGAAAGGTTGACTCTGCAGCAGAAAATGATCGAAATTACTCCCTGATTGGTCTGCCAAACATCGTAACAAGAGAAAACATCTCAATTTTAAAATGACATTTGAAGATACAATACATCACTGGATCAGCTACAGCTACTGTCAGTTCCTGTATTACAACACATTGCCAGGGCTATTTGATGAGACATTATCAGAAGCTGGTATATATAGCCTCCACTTTCCCTGTCAACATGTCCGGAAAACGCGACTGCGGGTGTTACAGTGTGCAGACGTGTTTCTATCTGTCTGGCAGATTCGTACAATGTTTCACTTAAACACCAGCAAAGATTAATTAGAAACATGATACATATACATGTCCATAGCTTGACATATCCAGGATATTGCCGCTCCTCTAAGACACTCAATCATACCCAAGGCATTAAGGGTAGTCATCAGCACTGGAGATCAAATTCATACATAAGATCATCGTACATTCTGTACAACTAAATTGAAACGTAAGACATTCATCACCAAACATATAATATAGCATATAATATAACATGAAATTTAATGTTAGGGTATACTTGTTTAATACGATACAGGATACCGCTTACAATGGCAGTCCACATCTGACGAGAATCTGACGCTGTGGTTATTGTGACATACATGAAGTCAATGTCATATGAAAAGACGCCTTAGAATCAGCATCTCTACATACAGGGAACGGAAGATACGTTTTAATGGCATGATGTTGTTGCTGATGGCGGGGCTTAGCTGATTCCGTGCACTGCGATATATGCGTTGTGGTATATTAGATAACAAATTGATATATAATGTACGTGAGTCAACGTGTAGGTAATTCACCATATATACACGACAGCGTAACAATAATTGTCTCTTGGATTGGCAAACTAGTGGCTGATGGCAAGAGAAACAATCTACCAAATGTCACACGCTCTATTTATCGGTCGTTAATGTATCATATATAATTATTAATTTAAACTAATCAAATATGCTTACAGCATGATAGATCTACATGTTAAACCCGGCCAAAGGATCGGTGGGCGCCCGTTTTCCTTTCTCAACTCCTTGGGGAGTATACAACTCAAGCAGCCTGTAAAGCTCCAGAGGATAACTGCTAGTTACATAGACGCATTTTTCGAAAACGGATGCCTGTTTAAGGACCCCACATGTGCTACATTTGTTTGAATATGGAGAAAGATATCACACCTGTCCACTTCATCTTCCGGAAACAACATGCGTTATCCCTACACGATTATTAGATATTCAGACACCGATGTTGCTTAAACTTCGAAGGCTTGATGCATATTTGACAGTTTTAGATCTTAGACTTGTCATTAACGCGTTAAACCGTGAGAGCATGGGGATTAATGGTTGTCAAAACAAAGGATCCGGAAGGGTCATTAAGAAATAATGGCGATTTTGTCATTCAGACAGATCATGTCTTCTTGGAATTACTTCCTGAAATTAGTTATTATTTCTCCTTTCAGTCTTGCAATGACATTTCCTTTCAACAGAGCCCGACATCATCATCCATCAGTTGAACCGTTAGATGGAAGAAGATTCCGATCGATGAAATGAACTGAAACCTATCGTGGTACTGACGCTTTTCCTATAAAACCAAAATATTATCCCATAAAGACAGATGCAATTTGGAAAGCGAGCGCATCAAATCTATTTCTAACAGATGTTTCCACTTTACGGTAGTTGGTAGAGTGTGTTCAAAGCAAAGGAAATCCTGTCGTATGTGGGTCCCACTTACGAGTTCGATGAAACTGACCAATGAGGTGAAATGAACCTCACGTGAGTTTATGTAGAACAGAATCTATGCACACATTGATTTTGTCCTGAATGTACGGATATATGTCACAGCAAGCATCTGTCATTAATGGAATCCTATTATAAAGCGAACACCCTCGACGACAGTTTCAAAGAGGAATCTTGCTCAAACGTTGCTGTCAGGGTTCACACATTCAAGACCTTAGTAGAGCGTCCCACGTTGTATGGACGTCATGGTGAAGACAGTTCAGTTTATAGCATCACTGACCAAAATAATGTCCATGCCCCTTCGTAACTTTTGACTTGTACAACGTTTTCCTGTGTTTTGTCGGTGAACTGCCTTACCTCTGCATGTGTTTTTGATGGGATAGACCTGGTATCATCACAATTTCATAGTGATTCATAAACATGTGATATGCGTTTATCGTGAAATGGGCTTTGCATTTAGCGCAGATTTCCTCTGATCTTTGGAAGGGTCTTCTAGATCTTATTTGAACTTATCATCAGTTACATATTTCGAGTAACCGATCTCTGTGCTTTGTTCCTATACCTGATTAATACATGCCATTAATACACACTGAAATGCCACCTATGTTCGAATGAATATCAACTTTCTCCTATGCTCTTACAGTAATGAGTAATATGATGCTTCGCTTAAGGTCAGGCATCTGAGATGTCGGAGATAGCGGTGGTTGTGGCCTGTGTCTATAGGGTGACACTGGTGATCCTGTAGTCGAAGGGCATACCTGTGCAGGGTTGCCTCCCTTGGGCCGATCAGGAACCTAATAGTATGATTGATTGTGGGTTCGAATCCAACAGAACGATACCGAAGTCATGGGTTTCACCAAAGTGGTTATTGTCTGAGACTGTAATACTTCTCTCCGCAACTCGCTGACTCGCTAAGAAGACAGGATTAGACAAACATGCTTCATGTCAACCGGCCATCTGCAGGTTAGCACGATGTAAATACCATCGGTGTGGCCTTTCGCATGCCGAAACGTGCATCTCATGTTCAATTTCATAAATGTCATACCGGGGAACAAAAGGATACCTGACACGGCAACATTTAGCTGCAGCTCGTTAAACATTCGCCAAGAACCTATGTGGACACTGTGGAACAATGATGAATGGCGTCCTGGAATGATGTGGGTGAAACTGGATGCCATTTTGTATAGTTAATTTTGCCGAAGTCCACGGAATGGATACACTTCTTACACCAGTGGAAGGGGAATGTGCAGAAACACATATCTCAGTGTAACGTTGTTTAAGTGTTTTGAGCCGTGGTCCTCGACTTCCGTAATCTGATAACAACATCTAGTAGAGCACAGATGAAGTTTAGGCATAGTTTGTTGTCTAATTATGTATCAAAACAGAACTAACAACACGTCTGGAGACTTTAATAATAATCTTCCATCATCAAGCAGAGAAAGGTTTCAACCTGGACTCAACGTTGATATCAATACTTGAATCAACCTGAAAGGGTTTTTGTACCATTTGTCGCTGTTGTACATCTATTCCTACAGCAGTGACTTCATGCTGGATGCTCTCAGACCAAGAGGTTGTATCATGTTTTTCTAGACGCCTTCAGAAATACAACTCGGCTCTGATTGCACCTGGCACACATATTTCCAATCTTTCTGCAAGAAACTGATAAGGCCAAAGTCCTGTAGTACACAGTCAATGGTGTGTTAGACTTCAAACACTTTCTAATGTTCATAGTTTCTGTACCTGCCATTTGTTTACAGAATTAACTGACTTTGGATTGTTGTAGAAACCGTTATTTTCCCCTTAAACATTGTACACAGTACAGACACATTAAGCGTGATATACATCTTCCTTATAACCAGTTGTACAAATTCTACAAAGTCTATGTCCCCTATACCTGTTGGCCGTCTCTGGGACGTGACTACTGTTTGTTTGATATCGGGTTTCACAGTGTTATACATATCTATGCAAAGACTCTTCTGTGGGAGGAAGCTGTGCCCAGATCCCCGAGTGTATAATGACCTAGATCTCCTACAACATTACACTTCAATAGAAGTGACGGATCTGTGTAACTTATGTACAACGTGCGTGTGTATATGACATATCTAAACATCATACTCTATGACATTACACCCCAATACAAGTGACGGATCTGTGCAACTAATGTCCAACGTGGGTGTGTATATGACATATCTAAACATCATGCACAGTATACAGACACCTCACTGACAGGTGACTTGGTGAAATCTCAATGTTAGTGGCTGGCTGGTCATGGGAGTTTCAGCGGAGGTGTCAGTGTTTTATCAAAACTTTAATATACAGTCTAACACCGTTATGTTGACGTTAAATGAACCTGAATGAATGAAGTAATTTTTCGAGTTTCGGAAAACTTGAGGTTCGAAACCACCTGAAAAAATACATAAAGAAGAAATACGCACCCAGCCGGCATTGCAAGGCTCTCCTTCAAGTATTGGTGTGTGCTTTGTCATCTCGCGTTCCTTGCTTTAAGGGACAAAATCTGTGGCAAAATGGTGTTCTGTTGCTACAAATGAGTTTCTCGTAAATCGACTGTTACATCATGTGTTTAACATCGTTATTGTATTGCAACCTCAGTGTAACCAGACACATGCAATCGTGTTTCCAGAATACAGATTGATACGATGTCCTGAAGTTAAGTGGTAACGGAATATTCGTGTACTATTGACAGCCATCAAACCGAGCCACTGGACTGCCCCGTGAACTCATGTCTGTTTACATGACGAACAGTGGTGTATAGATTCATTCTTTGAAATTACATCATGAAACTACAACTACTTGCTGCTGCTACTACTACTACTACTACTACTACTACTACTACTACTACTACTACTACTACTATTACTACTACTACTACTACTATTACTACTACTACTACTACTATTACTACTACTACTACTATTACTACTACTACTACTATTACTACTACTACTTCTACTATTACTACTACTACTACTACTACTAAATGTGCTTTATTCTTTCTTCTGGTGTTGTATCATGCCAG